CGGGATGGGTGATTTGGTTTTAGTGCTTGATTGGGAGTAACCTTGAGGGATGGCTAATCCTTTTCTAACACGGTATTTTGCTACCCTTTTTCTTCAAGTTGTTTTACGAGGACTGGAGTCCTACTGTCGACTTTGTACTGTACTGTACGAGTATTACTAAGGTTACGTTGTGATGGACTTCCTTTCGCTTAAAGAACGGTGTAGAGTATTCGTACTCGGTTAAGGGGGCTGACGTAAAAACAAGAAGACGGACAATGTCCATCAACCCCATTCCATCTACTATTCATCACTCATCTCATCACCAACAAGACAATCTCAATCCCAGAGAATAAAACGACCAGATAAGACACAAGATAAACTAAAAGAAAAAACCAAGTAGATTGCATTCAAAGTCTGAAGCTAAAAAGTCACCTACTCAACTACTGGACCTGTGGCTCACACACCCCAAAAATGATGCAACGCCCCCCGGGCCATCGCGAGCCCATCGTCCAATCGCCGTCCGTCCATTTCCGCTGACTTGGGCGCCTCCAGGCAAAGCCCGGGGATAAAGCCTTTTCCCCCCCAATGGCTCTCCGTGCATCTGAATTGTCAATCTGCGTCTTCGATGGCGAAATCCTCGGATTGTCGCATGCCATGTTTGGATTGGGTGGAGATTGATTAGATTCCTCAGCGCTGCAAGGCTTGGTAATCAACAATCAAACCAGCTTCCATGGATCAGCTGGAAAGGCTTTGACTCGTTGTATCTACGTGCAGAAGCAGAACAGGGCATGTGACACATATTAGTGGTAGAGTTGGCAAGCTCTTGGTCCGGCATGGCTCTTGGTAGTACAATATGCACTCTACGCAGATTCATTGCCTCATCTGAGAAATCATACACGATCCAAAACCGGATCCACTAATATGCCTATTGCTATTTCTCAACGACTGGTTACTATACTCGTACACGATCGTAGTATTTATTTGAATCATCTTAAAAAGAAAAAAGAAAAAACCATCAAGTAATCCTATCCCAACCGTTCTGCGGTAGATCACACGAAGGAAAGGGGGAAACAATGCCAACTTTTTCAAGGCCGAGTCTGCCTCGCCATACGAACAGGAACAGGCAAATGCTTGGGTGAAATAACAACAGCTCTTAAATCCCATATAGGTTTCCCCCCTTTGCCGGATACACACGCCTAAATTCCCAGTCATGCCCAATAATTGACCCCACTAAACCCTTCTACGAGGGATGAAAACGAGCGCCGTTGCCATGCAATTTCAAGTCGCTGATAGCAATATCCAAAGAAATCCCTCCATCTCAAGGTAAAGACAGAGGCTAAATGTTGAATGAAGAAGAAAAAGAAGAAAAAAGAACATTGTAAAACAAATCCACCCAAATAGTCATCAGAAAAACAAATAGAAAAAAAAATCATGGAGTACCAAGAGGAAAGAAGACCTGTTTACTGGCTTAGTCGGCAATGGCGCTCTCGTCTGCCTGAGCCTGTCGCAGTCTCTCTTCATTCTTCTCATCGGCCGGCAGTTTGATGTTGGCACGAGCCTTGCCCTGTGCTTCAACGAAGCGCTCCCAGTATTCAGGGTCGCTGTCTTTCAACGCTGAAAACAGCATCTCCCTGTCCTCTTTGAAGGCCTGGACAGCGCCCTTCTTCTTGGCCATCTCCAGGAATTCACCGCCAACGTCTTCGGCAAGCTCGCCAAACACATGTACATGCTTGGGGTCGCTCTCCACGTCGTCGAGCGTCGAGAGCAGATCAATATGATCGGTGAATCCAGATCGGAACCTGTGGCCAGCACGATGTACGCGTCCCTCTTCTTCTGCCAGCTTCTTGCCCAATATCGAGTTGGATCGTGAGAGTGTATGTGGCTCGACCTCGTCTTCGGCGTCCGACCCGGCTGCCACGGCGTCCTCCATGGTTGGCGGCGATGATGAGAGTATCTCCGTCTCTGCCTGGGATGATGGCACCTTGGTCAGTGCTTCTTCTGTGTCCTCGCGAGTATCGGGATACTCGTCCTCGAATCGTTTGATGATACCCTGCAACGTATCGTCCAGGAAGTTTAGCTTCCGCAGGTTGAGCTCGTCGCTTGGGTTTGCCCTGGCCTTGTTCAGTGCCGGCTGCAGACGAAGTCTGATCTTGCGAGCACCAGCCAACAGGTGCTTGGACAAGTCCTTGGCCTTGCCGCCAGTTGGGAGTCTGGGCCCGACAAAAGGCTCCTCTTCTGCCGCATTCATCTCGCGGAAGAATTCTCCAGACGCCCGGCGGGATTCATCGCCACGGTTCTTGAGGCAGCACGCAAGCGCCTTGACCACGCCTGTACCACCGATGACGTAGTCCTCGTCTGGCCCTGAGCCGTCATCCTCGATATCGTCATGCACAAGGACGTCATTACCGACGAGATGCGCCAGCACATCTGGATACCCTGGCGTTCTGCCATCGACAGTCTCTCCCTTGGCCTCGGCGAGAGCCGTAGCCACTGCCTTGTTAATCTCCGCATCGTGCATGTGCTCAATGTTCTGTAGGCAGTAAGCTACAACCTGCTTTGCCATTGCTTTGACGATTTCGCCAGCCTCCTCGTTGGGAACTTCAATGTCCACACATATCATGCTCCTAGATAGCCTAGTAGCAGCCATCAGTGACGCATACAGAGCGCAAGCTTCTTCTTGGGCTTCTTCGGTCTTGGCGCTAGCCAGAGCCACGATCTCTGCGTTTCCGAGCAGGCTAAGATGGCAGAGATGGCGTGCCTCGGGTACGACCTCGACTATCGCAATGGCTTGCTCAGAGGTCATGTTAACGTCTGAAAGATGCAACCTCTTGAGAGTCTGCATTTTGGGTAGATATCTAATCGTTTTGTTAGCATTATTCTTGTCAGATCTTTTGTAGACGGCGGATTCGTCTCGTACCTTCGAAGTAGACCAACGGCGCTCGGCGTAGATTGAAAGAGGTCATGGTTGTGTGAAAGGTCAATGAAGACGAGGTTGCTCAGCTTGGCCAGAATAGGTAGCATTTTGCAGAGAGACGAGGGCGTCAGGTTGCAATCGGATATGCTCAGTGCCCATAGCGGATCAGTCTCCTTGATGGAGGCGGCAAGGGTGTCCATGTGTTCCCTGAGATCGATGCCGCCTAGGTCGAGTCCTTCGCATTTCCCAGACTCGAGATATCTCACCACGTGCGCAACACCATCCTCGTCGAGTGGATTGCGAGCAGTACTGAGTCGTTTGATGCCACATTTGATGACTCCGTCGATAATTTTGCCCAATTGCACCATGCTCGGCTCGGTCTCACCAATGCTAAGCATCTCGAGCGCTGGTCCCGCTGGACGGTCTGCGAGTGCCTTGGCAAAGATGTCGGCAATGGTAAGAGGAATATGGACGCCATTCTGAAGAGCGCCGTTGGTGTTGCAGGACGCTTGGCGAGGAAAGGGAATGCTAGAGAGATCGAGGTACTTGAGCGATCGGCACTTGTAGATGAAGAGCGAAATGTGCTTCCAGCCGTCCGGACCCAGCTTGTTTTCTTTCAACACAACTCTCTCCACCACGCCTCCTGATTCCTCATGAACATGCTTGGCCTTCCTGCGTCTGGCCATTTCGGAGTGCTTCGCTGCTAATAGGCCGGCAAGAATGACCCTAACGCCTTCATCGGTGAGCCCACTGTTTTGCAAAATAATCTCCTTCACGGGCACGACAGCAAGGTAGTCTCCCAAGGTAATGAGATCCTGCAGTTGCATGAAATAGCCCGTCAGGTCGATCTTGTTGACAACGCCATCAGCCGAAGCGTTGGTAGGGTCGCTCAGCTGCTCAGTAATCTTCTTCAAGATGGGCGTTTCGCGAAGCTGGCAGCATCTTCGATAGATTCTGACCGGGTTTATCGTGGGGGAAGTACTCGTCTTTGGGGTTCCGTTGCCATTGAGCTCGGCGGAATCGCTGCTGTCATAGTGAATCTCTATAGGGATGACCCCGCTCTCTTCGGCGAGCCGCCGCCTTTTTTCCTTTCTGGCTTTACGCTCTTCTTCACTTCGTTTCTTCTTTTCCTTCTTTCTCGTCGTGTCCTTTGGTGCTGCTTTTTGTTCGTCTGGGCTATCCGCTCTCTTTGTGCCGTTCTGAGTCGGGGTAGCCTCCGCTTCGCGGGGCTTGGTGTCATTGGCACCGACACTTTCAGTCGAGGAAGAGGAAGCCTCTTTCTGCGCTTCAGCAACCTTTGGGTTTTTCAATGCCTCGCCCTCGCCCTTCTCGCTCAGCTTCTTCTTTTGGGCGTGGTCGACCGAGTTGGTGTCTGCTTCGGGCTCGGCATACTTTGGCATAGGCGCAATCTCGACATCGACGAAGAAAGAGACTCGCCTCAGCTTGTTATCCTTGAGTTCCGTGATCGGACACCTGTCTCGATCCCGATCGACATTCAATATACGGCGCTCGACCAGTCCATGATTCATCTTACCGGCGGCGCCGAGAGCGCCACTGTTGCCTCCTGATGAAGAAGAAAGTCGCCGAAAAACGCCCAGCAGTCCGGCCTGGCCCGATCTCGGAGGGGCCGGTATGTAAGGCTCATCGCCTTCTGGCTTCAGGCCATGCTGGAGAACAGCGTTCTTTGTCGGTGTAATTTTGGGGACAATGGGTTCTGCGTTTGCTGCTGGAGGCGCTGGCTGATGCTGTTGTGCAGGTGGCTGTTGGTGGTTTATGGGCTGCTGAGGTTGTCCGTTTGGCTGAGGGACTGCGCCTGAGAATTTGGCTGAAATGTTGGAGAACCACGAATTGCGACGGTGAGGCGGTGTCGCGCTGGAGCTGTTGGGCTTGTCGACAGAGCCCGACCGTGACATGCGCCTGGCGTTGCTTGAGCCATTTACAGGAATTGGCTCTGTGCGGCCATTTGACTTCCCGTTGGTCTCGATCTTGGGCTCATGCTTGGCCTCCACCTTTTCAGCGGTTGATGAAGGGCTCAGCTTGGGCGGGGAATCTTGCGGGACACTTCGTGGCTGTACAGTAGCAACGGGAGACTTGATGGGCGTAAAGGCAGCCTTGTTGAATTTGTCTACACGCATTGTTAGTTTTCAATTCCCTATCACGATTGCCCGACAAGCAGTCTGCCACGGCGCCGATGGACTTATACATGAAGCCATCATGAAAGCGCCGTGGCAGACACAGCGGTGGGAGTGGCAAAGCAGCCTGCCTTTTGGTGAGCCCTGCGTCATCCAACTGACGTCGACGCCATGGACTTGTTCCATGCTGGAAGGATTCCGCGAACGCTCGCGCGCTGTGTGTCGAGTCGAGAATGGAGGCTGCGGGATTGTTGCTGCGGTTGTGGAAAGGGAGAAGAGAGGAAGAAATGGCTGAGCGAAAGGCGGGTTGATTACAATATCAGCCCGGCCGCCTTTGACGGACGCTGGCGGCTCCAGCTGGGTGCGATCTAGGCTGGGGTAAGGCGGAAATATGGGGAGGGGAGCGACAAAGACGTCAACTAAGCCCACTGTAAGGGGACGCCTGACAAGCCAACAGCGGGGTAGATCAAGGTCTGCAGGGCCTTTGTTCCAAGGGCTGGCAATGGCTGGCCTTGTGCTAGTAGTAATAGCGAGCTGTCGCCTCTCAGCCCGGGCGAGTCAGACCAGGTTTCTACGTTGCCAAGATCAATGCCTCTTTCATCCAGCGACAGCGGCGGGCTAGCTCCACGGCAACGTCTCGATCAATCACGAGCCCCCTGTGAGTGCTTTTCATGTGTCGCAGTGAGCACCGTCCAATTGGTCCAGCTTGTCGGGGTACGGCGATGAACTTTCGCCACGGCCATTCCCTGCGCTGAGGATCGACTGGGACAAACAGGGAAATCCAAAGAGGCGAACTCCGCTGGCCAGCCGCTTTTCGCACAAGCTCCAGTGCTCTTGGGAGCTGACTGTGTTGAGTCGGGCAAGCCACAAGACTTTATTTACACCAGACGCACAAAAAAGCTTGAAAATTTTCTCTGCGCTGGAATCCTCGCAAAGCAAAGGGCCCCGGTTTCTAAGCACTTGCCACTTAGTTGCCAGCCGGTGCTGACGGGTCCCTGAGTAACAAATCCAAGTCTTTGGCTCTAGTGCTGCAGATACCGATTCCGCATAGTCTGCTCCATCTGCTTTCTTAGTAGAACTTCTCCATCCAGCAAATGCGCTTGTGCGTTCCCATAGTTTAGAGTGCTAGCCTGGAATTCAGGCCATTGATGGAGTGGGCGAAAAGCGTCCGTATTCAGCTACCGGGATACTGTACATTTCTCCTTAATACCTGCTTCTCCCATAACTTCCGGGCGAGCCGAGCGGTCACCGGCACCAAGCGTAAATTGTTTCTTAAACCTGTACACGTATCTACGCCGTTCTCCTGAGCTCCAGGCGGCAATTAATGGCTCAATCAAGGCCTGCCAGCCTCGTCGATGGGCCGATGGCATGGCCCTTTCTCGGTAAGATTTACATACATGGTGCGTCTGACCCCTGACGTATTTGGGTGCAAGTGCAAAGTCACAGGAGCATCCATGCCACCGTTTCTGCACGTGAATCGATATCCGCGCCTAACGCAAGGAACCGACTCAGTAAAATGACATGAAGATCCCTTTCGATTTACTTTTTCTTGACATCCAGCGCAATCTACGTCATTTTCCAACTCCCGTTATGCCGTGTTACCCTGCTTATTGGTATCTTAAGTAAGATTATACCAAGACATTCTGTAAGAGAGAAACAGACAGCAAATACATACTCGTACGAGTACCGTACGTGGCAAAAGCGCTGCCAACCGTACTGTGCAACCTTATACGCCGTATCTGCAACTGCCCCTAGCAGGTAGGGTAGGGTTACTCCTCGCATCATGCTCCTCACCTCATGCAAGTAAATGCAGTTCGGCGCTTTGGCCTCGCCCAACTTCGGGCCACAACCGAAGTACGGAGCTCGATTCCGTGATCATGACAGTGCCAAGTTATCCTATGGCTCGTTCGGAAACGGATCGAGCTCCCAGCATGGTCTACGTCCTCTACGATCGGAACTTTCCATGAAATACCACCGACTCGTGAGCCAGAAAGGGGCAGGCCGATCCACCCCTGTTGTGGTGCTATGGGGAACTCCGATAAAACCTCATGCAAGACATGAAGAATATGTGTGTTATTGCCGCACATATGTCCCGCAAGTAAGGGACATGATCAACGGGAGCGCCATTTTCGCCCGGTTCATTTTCCGAGCTCCATGGAAGTTGGAAATTGCTTCATTAACCTCGGTTGCTTGAGCGGTTTCTGCCTCCTTAATACACAACCATGTTTATCCAAGCTTATGTAACGATTCACACATCTCGAGTGGCCATCTTCGGTTCTTCACCGAGCTTGTCTGTTAAGTTTGGCCATCGTCCTTCGTATTACTTTAAAGAACTAAGAGCTAAGTTGACTTACATACGAGATATGGATGCGATGTGGGACTTATTGAGATGAGAGTAAGCACCTGTAGATAAGATAAACTGTTAATACGAATGGTCGTGAAGTATTGAAGTGGTAAACTTTGTGTTAGTATAAGCTGACAGCTTCAAGAGCAAATGACAGAGCATCCACACAACACAACGCTTGAAAGTGAACGAGAAATATACAGGCAATGTTAGCTATAGTAACTATCCAAGGATAAGATAGGCACGACCGCTACATGCACTTTGAGGAGTGTTTTTTTTTTCAAGAAAAAAAAAAGAAAGATCGCCCTCTAGGGTAAGGAGATCTAGAAAATTTCACCTTGGTGTAGCCACCCATCTTACTAACATGCCCGCACAGATAGTCACCAATTGTTCGTTGCGAGTTGACTGCCACACATGTAAACCTGCCTAATAGAATTTCAGATACCGAGGGGTAGTTATTACGCCGCCTGGACATCGCATCTAAGTACAGGTCACTTGCAATAAATGTCGGACAAGGTAATGCACGAAACAATGGATCTATGATCCGGATTGGAAGGTATCTTTTCATTCATTTTGACCATGAGGACCGACCCTTTCATTCCTGTAACTCCAGACCCAATATATCGAGAATCAAATTGCAACCTGCCCAAGTTCCCCTTTTTACTCCTCAGCCAGGATCTTCTGGATCTTGGCCTGCACGTTGGCAGCCTTCTCGGCCTTGGAGAGTCTGATAGTCTTGTGCTTCAGGGAGATGGCCTTCCACTCCTCCTTGGTCTTCTTCTCACCCTCAACCTTCTTGAAGGGGTCCTCACGGATGGCCTTGTGGGCCTCGGTGTAGAGGTCCTCGAGACCGTCGGCCTCGATGTCGTCCTCAATGTACTTGGAGAACTGGCTGTTGTAGCGCTCCTCATCGTCATCGGCGAGGGTCTCCATGTACTCGGCAACGTGGCCACCGTAGATGTACTTGCGGAGGGTCTCGGCGTCCAGCTCCTTGCTCTCCATGTCGTAACCAGGGAATCGCTTCTCGGAGTGGGGGACGAAGATGCCACCGTCGGAGGCACCCTTGAGGGCACCGAAGACACGGGCACCGGTGGAGGTACGGGCAAGACCAACGTCAAGGAAGGCCTTGAAGGGGCGGCGCTCGCCATCGTCGGTCTCAGCGGCCTCGGTGAGGGTGAACTCACCGTCAGCCTCCTCAACACCGACAAAGTCCTTGTCGAGGCCGAGCTTGGTGAGGACACGGCGGGCGATCAGGAGACCGGTGGCATAGGCGGCGGACCAGTTGGTCAGACCGTGGTTGATGCCGTAAGCCTTCAGCTCGTGGGCGTAGGCAGCGACCAGGACCTTGTCACCAGAGATCTCAGAGCTGACGATCTGCATGACGATGTCCTTGTTGGTGAAGCGGACGACCAGGCGGTACTTGGGAGCATTGTACTTGTTCTTGGCCTGGGTGATGAGGCGCTTACGAGCATAGTAGTCGGTCTTTCCCTCACGTCTGCGCTTGTACTTGGTCTGGTAGCGGCTGTAGTCGAAAAAAAGTTAGCTACATTATTCCATCGAATCATCCCCCAAAGCATCTTTAAAGATTGGATTCAATGCAAGGAAAACTAACCTGTAGTACGCGCTGTTCTTGGCGAGCTTTTGGAAAGGCTGTCACAAAAATCCCCGAGTCAGCAATTTGCGCTTCAGAATGCTCGTGTTTCTTCCGAAGCTACTTGCGACGACTCTCAATCACGAGCAATTGACGGCATTTCTGCCTCGTTTTGCAGTTGAAGCATCTCTATGACTGAGATTTCAACGATAGGCCCAACTTACCATTTTGACGGTGGTGCCTGGCGATGGCTGGCTTGCTCCTCAAACTTGTGAAATTTGATGATGAGGATAGAAGACGAAATCTTGGTGGGCTAATTTTTGAAGCCCTAAAATTTCTCGTGCGCTACTGCTTCGCCTAGTTCCACACTGTGGACAGCCGGGTTGGGGACGAATGTGGACAATCGGGTTGGGGACGAATCACCTGACACGACCCCTGGACTTGAGAAATGATATTTGAGTTATGTAAGCATTTTCAAAGAATATGGGGTGCATGAGTCCTTATCTTATCGCCCTTCTGGCGCGTGTGGAGCGCGAACCGAGGTACCGGCAACTGTGTGAAGCTGGGGATGCTGAGAGCCGCCATTTCGTCCTGAAAGATGCAGTGACTCCGCTCTTCATTCGTTTTCTTGCAATGGACCCGGAGAGTTATTCTGTTGATCAAATCTTGGAAGCAATTGACGCCGAAATGGATGGTTTAAAGCCCAAAGTCCTTTTGTTTGATATTGGCGGTGTTTGTGTAAGTTGCGTATCCCTTGAGAAATCGACCCCTTCACATTTCTTCTCTTACACGCGAATACGTGCATGAGACTTCTTTCTTCATTACTAATGTGTTTAGGTTAAATCACCCTTTCAAGTAATCCTAGATTATGAACTTGGCTTGGGAATCCCGCCCGGCTGGGTGAACTATTCCATCTCTAAATCTGGTCCCACAGGATTCTGGCAACAGATTGAACGTGGGGATATCCCTATGGATGACGCTTTCTTTGAAGGGTTTACCAAAGACCTTCATGTGCAAGAACGATGGGAGGAATTCTACAAGACACAACAGGCAAAGGACCCTCGCCTAGCCAAAGAAATCCCTCCATTGCCAGACATTGATGGCAAGTGGCTGTTCAACGAGATGCTGTCTGGCTCTGGCCCAGATGCGTATGACCCTTGGATGTTCCCGGCACTTCAAAAGCTCAGAGCTAGCGGAAAGTACATACTGGCAGCATTAAGCAACACGGTCATCTTCCCACCGGGTCACAAATTGTACCAGGAAGACTTCTTTGACGAGCCGGTTCGCCAGATATTCGACATATTCATATCATCAGCCCATGTTGGTATCCGCAAGCCAGACCCAAAAATGTATCAGCTGGCTCTACAGAAGCTCAATGATTTTGCCAAGGAGAACGCAAACGACCCGCGGCATCAAGGGAAAGGGTGGGAGACCGGAATTTCACCGAAAGACATTGTTTTTCTGGATGACATTGGCGAGAATTTGAAAGAAGCGCGCAGACAAGGGTTCAACACAATCAAGGTTTACTTGGGGAGAACGTACGAGGCGGTTGAAGAGCTGGAGAAGATTACAGGGCTGGCGCTTGAGGGACCGCATCCAAAGATACCCATCAAACCGAACTACGAGCCACGGGCCAAGATATGACGATGTTAATGCCACCACCAGCGACATGAAGATGAGCAATGTTTTTATCGTTTGTAAATAGATGCTAATACTAGATGATTCTTCTTCCTTTTCATTAGTGAACAGTTGATGGCTCACGGAATTTAGGCTTAAAGCAGCTGGCCATGCTGCTGCTACCATTGTTCTCCATCAGCTCCCTATATCGTCAAAATTCCAAGCAGAATTCTCATACAGCCCATTGAACCACTGTGGCTGACGAGGCCACCAAATCTCACCTGCCGACTTCTCATTCTCAGCTATGATGGCCGGACCTCTCGTTCCATCACTAAAGGGCTCATGCGTTACCACCCTGCTCCTCTCCGCTTCATACAACTCTTTGACACGCCTCGCCTTCTTAGCTAGTTCTGCTAATCTCTTGGATTTCATCATCTCTGCCGGTTTCGAATTGGTTTTTGTGCTGTACGCAAACTTCTCAATATCTTGTTTCAACGTCTCTTCAGCTTCCTCCAAGTGAGAAACAAAACGATCTATTATGGAGGACAGGTCGAATTCAGGATGTGCCAGTTTGGCATTCCAACCAGGAATCTTGATCAAATGGAGGCGAGCAGCAAGGATCATTACAAATATAATCGGCCTCGTAGCAATTGCAGATTGATAGGCGTACCAACCGTCAGGACAGGTCGCGAGAAGACTCTCAAGATATGCTTTAGTCGCAGATATACAGCTTGTCAAGCACAGGTGCCACAACCCGAGTGGCGCATCTTCCGCTTCCATTGTTGCCGGTTCAAAGCGTGTGACTGGTTCGTAGAGCCGAACTAACAAGTAGTTATAGGCCAGTGTAAAGTATTTCTCATGGCTGCCAACATTTCCAATGGATGGCCAACGATACTGTTGTTGATCGAAACCCAAGGACCCGATTATGCTATCCAACTCGGGGCGAAGCCGTTGAGCAGTCTCCTTAACCAGAGTAAGATACGCTTCCGCTCCGTCATGACGGGTATTAGTGTGAAAAGTCTCAGATATCTTGTCACTCAGCTGTATCAATCTCACATATCGCTCTAGGACAAAATCCGTGGGACATTCGGGATGCTGCCTGAGTAAGCTGCGACATAGATCGACGTAGGGGCCGCTGAGGGGATTTTGGCGACCAAAACAGACTGAATCTCTACATCGTTAGGGTAAATACAAGATGCTCGACTTTGATTGCCTCAATTATGCAACTTACGCTGAAAGCACAGTGACGCACCCTAGAAACGCTCTACGGGCATCGATAGCGCCGATTTTAGGAAGCATAGCTGGTTTTTCTGACGAGGTGATATTGGCGAGAGAGTTATTTTCAGACCGAGAAACATTAAATGATCTCCCCGAAGTTGCTAAATTATGAGCATATCCAAGTGCAATATGTGTGAGATTCGTGATTTGGTGACTGCTCAGATCGCATATATCAGCCCTAAGCCTGTCAGCTTCATGTTCGCCATAGATAGAAACGTTGATGCGTACCAAGCTATGCAAAGCAAGATACATTGTAGGAGATCCAAGTCAAAGTCTTTCTCAGTGAATAGACGCTGGCCGAGATGAGCAAAGAAGCTATCCTTCATCGCTGTCGTTATTAGCCACGGTAACGGCGTGGCGATTATCATGATTGCCTTGGAAGTGAATGGCTGCCGCTGTTCTAGTTGACGGGCGAGTATTCCATTCTCTAAGATGACAAACGGAAAATGATGCACGTATTTTTGCTGGAATACATGGAGGATTTCATCTGCCTGTGGCCATGGGATATTAAATAGCTGTGTTCCCAGAGAGGTTTGCAGCGGAAGTGTTGCTTGCAGACTGTTAAGGTCTGTTTCTTCTTCTGTATCTGAGACCGATATAGATGTTGAAGTGTCTATTGTACTTGTAGATGAGGTTGCGATGAGCGATGGGCGGTGAGGGTTTGATCCATCGCCCTGTTTCGGAACCTCGTCCCCTTTCGGAGTTCTCGATGGTGAGATGGTCATCCGCTGTTCTCCAGAATCCTTATTATGTATCCTTGATACCATCTACCAAGTCAGCCAGTGCCAGCCACGTGCCTATATGATAGGAGAAAATGAACCTATCATGAAGTCTGATTTGCCTCGGCTTTCGCAAGCCCCGACTGGTCTGTTCTGTGCAACCGATTGCCATCTTGCAGCATCTAATATGTGTCAACAGTGAGCAAATAGAAAATAAAACATAGCATTGGCCCACGCGTACCTTTCACAGGATGAATTCGAAGCTTGAAAATGGCATCTCGCCTTCGCTTTGGAGCATTGCTCACATGCCCTGCGTCGCCGCGGAGGGCTCTGCGACCTCGACGTCTCTAGGAAGTCGCTCATACTTTAAACGAGCTGTTATTGACTACAACATATTTAGATCAATGATTTGTTTCGGGTTTCTTTCTCTCCATGGAGACTCGAAAGTCTTTCAAGCCTCCAAATGATGATATCTTGGCGGGGTTGGTGGAGTGGGAGCGCTGAATTTAGGGAGAGATGAGTTCCGGCGGACTGTGTCCACCATAAGCATTGAACACGAGCTGAGTGCACGCAAATGTGCGAGCTGCCAATCTCACATTCAATTTATACCAATAGAAGCCATATTTTGTGTGAAAAAGCTCTTTTTGCTTTTCTGACTTATCTATCTTCGTAAGTGTTACTATTATTACATGGCTAGCCAACATACATGCGTGATGAACCAACTTTGCTAATAACCAACGCCCCGGAACCAATGTGTTTCGTAAGTGTTACTATTATTACATGGCTAGCCAACATACATGCGTGATGAACCAACTTTGCTAATAACCAACGCCCCGGAACCAATGTGAAGGTCTAGAGCCTTCACACTAATAGACTGCGTACGTACATAAACATAGCCTGAAGATTAAAAACCTTCATAAAGTGGCTTCCAATCTGAATTGACCCAATATCTGAAGCTATATTCAATGAAAGTTGACAAAAAATAGACTGCTCATGCTTCATTTCCTTGCTGTGTCAATGACCCCAAAAGTCCTCCATCGTTTTAGCTCAGACAATTTGCCCTTCATGTCTATGTAATTTCGTACATTTTCCAATACAGTTGATGATATATAAGCTGTCAACATTAGCGCCTCATCATTTCCCATTCCAATGCGCTCCATGACCTGATTATTTCCGCTGGGCGCCATCCCTATCTGACGACTCATCATCTCCATCAGGCTCCTCTATAGGAGACCAGGCGCCATTGGCACGCATCTCAATCTTTTTAGTGTTACTCATACCTCTCTCCAATATCTTTTCCTTTATTTCAACGAAGAAATCGTCCACTAGTAGATTGCAAGGCCGGGCATCCATACCACACAAAGGGCAAGCCCAGCAGTCAACCACTGATGGCTCATCCACATCTTGTGGCCACTTGGAGGGACGCGAGTCCAGCCAATTTTGTAAATCGAAGCATTCGAGATGGCGGCATTGGCGGCCTCGGACGGGAATATCGAAGAGCTTAGAACTAAGTATGTCTGCGACCGAGATTGTCATAGTATCACTCTCAATGACAATTTCATCCGTCTCTACTCTCTGCAGTCGCCTGCTTATCTCATTTTTGGTTGCTTCTACAGTGGTATGAGGCTCAGAGATTACCAAATCCCGGACAGAGTTGTGGTTTAATGTCGTTACAAGTTCCACGGCCATAAAGTAAGCAACGTTTTTCTTTAGATTTTGAGGAAAGTAGGGCAAATTCACTTTGATCGTATTCTTGCCTTCGGCCAGGGAGTCAGTAAGTTCGATAGGCAAGTCATGATGAAAGTGTTGCCTTCGACGGACATGGATTATTTCATCATTGAACGAGAAAAAGAAGTGCGGCGGCCAGTAAGTCGGAATTCGAGACCATGTGGCTGCATCAAAGGTCTGTTGTCCCTCTTGCTTGCGACTTTCGCACAAGCGGATGCGGTATCGATGGGAGTTGTTAAAATGTCGACTCACAGGTACCTCATATGGGGGCTCATCATCAGTTGATTCAGATGATACAGCGGTAAGGGAGAGACTGTCCAAATCTTCCTCGGAAACATTAAATTCCAATGTGGTTACCCCCATGTATGGCCGAATTTCTACTGGTTCCAAGATAAATTTTGAGAAGAATTGATAATAACGGGTTCTCTCCGCACCGGGGCTCTGATCTTGATTTGAGGGAGCTCTCCGAGGGCTGCGCAAACGAGTCAAGTGCAGGCCTGCTCGAACAGATGTCCAATGATGTGGGCTGGTGGGATATTCATAGGGTGAGATAGGATAAGTAGTGAATTGAGGATGCCGCTGACTGCGTGTTGAGGCGGGAGACGATGTAGATGGTGAATAATAGTTTTGAGGGCGCATTTGCGGCTGCATGTACTGCATTTCGGATGCTTGCAGCATTTGTGCTGTGGCGTGGTGAAGCTGATGATGCTGAGGCGTCATAAAGGGTTGCGGGGCCATTTGAAGCTGAGAGGCCCGAGGTACTTGGTGAGGTTGAGGTGTCCAAGGGGCCTGAAGGGCGTGGGATGCCGATGGAAGCTGAAGAGCTTGTGCAACCTGTCCTGGAGGCATATGGTGATGGTAATGTGGGTGAGATAGGTGCTGATATGGACTGTTTGGCGGCAGAGGTGGCGGTGTCTGATATTGGCGGCTGCCACCGCCCTGTGTCTGGACTTGCTGCTCTCGTGGCCATGGAGATGGCAAAGGGACCTGCATGGTCTGAGAGGGATGCTGCATTGGCCGGGCATCGAGACTCGGGCTCTGGTCGTGACTGTGAGGGCGATAGCGAGGATCTTGATGCTGATATTGATGCTGGTGAGGATGGCCTTGGTGATGAGGAGTATAACGAGGATGTTGAGGATGATTGTGGTGATGATGAAGAGGAGGAGGAGGACCGTAGCTGTGGCCCGGCTGCTGCTGTTGCTGGGACATGGCTGTGGGCGGTGTTGATTCCATATCATTTTGCGGTGGGATTATCGGAGGGAGCAGGTTCGAAGGCTCTGGGACGGGCTGCCCCGGTGGTTTTGGTGCCATCAAAGGATGTGAGGTTTGTTGGCAGTGAATCACACCAGTTGGATATCGTAGACCAGACTGCTGGGGCTGGAGCTGAGGTTGATGCTGATGCTGATTTTGAGGTTGGAGTTGAGGCTGAGGCTCGTGCTGAGGTTGGGGTTCAAGTTGGGGTTGATGCTGAGGTGGAAGTTGAGGTTGATGCTGAAGTTGGTGCTGAGATTGATGCTGGGATTGAGGTTGATGCTGGGATTGAGGTTGAGGCTGAGGTTGATGTTGAGGCTGAGGTTGATGTTGAGGCCGAGGTTCAAGTCGAGGTTGAGGTGGAAGTTGAGATTGAGGTTGCTGTTGGGGTTGAGGTGGATGCTGAGAGGGTAGAATTTGAGGCTGATGCTGAGGTTGAGGTGGAAGTTGAGATCGAGGTTGAGGGGGCTGAGGCTGGTTTTGGAAATTCGCTGCGGACTGAGTCGGTGGATGAACCGCAGGCTGAGAGTTTTCAAGATGCTGTGGCTGTTGGTGAGAAGGCTCTGGAGGAGCTGCGTGAGGTTGATGGTTCACGGTATCAGGCGCCTGGCACTGAGGAGGACCTTGTGAAGGTGGCTGTTGCTGAGGTGGTGCGGCTAGCCTATTTATATTTGTGTTTGTGTTGATGTTGGCGTGATTGGATGAGGGAAGTGGTGGCATTGTGTGGGATGTGTTGGCAGCTGGCGCAGCTGATACTGCACCTACCTCTTCACATAATCACAGCTGTCAGTCTCATGTCGTCAATCAGTCCTAAAAGTTGGACATTGACTCACCAGTCAGACGGGCTTGTTCTTCTCGTGTCTCTCGAACGAAGCTCACGTAAGTCGTCATCATCGTGCTGCGAACTCTGTCCATCTCTTCCTGCGGGACGCTCTGTTCTTCGAAATTGAGCTCTTGGCGATTGTCCATGGTGAAGAGATGGTTGAGCCTGGCGGACATTGGGCCATCCGGAATCCCGATTGTTTTGCGGATGCGCTTAAATAGTGCACTGGCGATTGTGTTTGACACGCATCTAAGGATATCGCGGATTTGATACGCCATTGGTGGTATCATCTGAGATAGGAGACTTTTCTTCATGGCCGGCCAGTGCATGGCAAACGCGGCGATGAAGTCCTTGGCCTGGATATATATCCGGTCAAGGCCAACAACGTTTCTAAATCCAGGGAAATTTGAGAACCATTGCCAATGAGGGTCGGTTATTTGCATGTGCTTATCATCACTAAAGACGCTACAGAGCTCACTAAAGGCTATATCGATGAGTTCAGGGGGGATGGGGACCAAGGCTGCATATGCCGCCTTTCTGTCCAGCTTCCAGCAGCAGCACTGTTGATGAACAATTAGGAAAACGGCATCCAAACTGTGGCATGCGTTTAGCAGTGTGGTATATCGACTCTGCTCAGCATTGTTGGCCGGGCATTTGCCGTCTTTGAATTCTTCAGCTCGCTGTCGAATCACTGAGATGGCCCAAATCACGGCTGTATGGAGAGGAGTCTCCTCTCTCGTGGGTTGATTCGATTCCTGAACTGGCCTTTGGATATCACCATTTTGGCTATATGTGGTCTGATATGTTGTGCTTTCATGAGTTGAAGGCAACCCCATTGCTGTTTCTGTGGGGGCCGTCGTTGGTTGTTCGTATGGCTCAGCTTGAGCGTGAGCCGACGCCGGGCTCGCTTCATCTGTGAGAGACGGAGATGGCAACACGGAGGAAGTGCTATTTGGCACACATAAATACCTGTTAGCAAATATGAATAGGGACTTTTAAATGGTACGAGCCCTGCTGGACGGTAGAGACAAAGGAAATGGACAAGAGTGACAGAAGACTCTATTGATGAAGAAGAAGAAGGAAGACAGAGGAAGACAAGGAAATGAGAAAGGGGCCAAGTGATGTGTAAAGGGCCAAACTTGGCTCGTACCTATGGGAAGAAGTAGGGGGCAATATAGTATACAGGTCTACATATTCTCGTGCTATGGGTGCATCTGAGATTGGTGCCGGTGCGGAACTAGGCATGGGAGCGAGGAAGGGCAGACCCATGGCAGAAGTAGCACCAGGATTGACGGCAGTAGCCGTGTAATCCATGCTTTGACCAACTGCCAACTGCAGGTTTATGGTGTTAGGCTTGCGTCTCCGTGGTGCTGGCTTGCGAATCTGTCCGGCCCGAGGCTTTGGAGGCATGACGGTTGGTTGAGTCGAAGTCTGTTGGCGGGAAGTGATTGTTAGTTGAGCCCCGCAAGCATGGCCTTTGGGAATAGACGAATATACTATACTAGTTGGACTGACTGTAGTATTACCTTGGCAGATGGATCCTTGCAGCAACACTAGTAGTCATGAGTTGGATGGATTGGTATAAAGAAGCAGGAGGTGGGAGCAAGTCACATTCAAATCAGGGCCTGTACATATGACGAGCCGTGTAGGTAAGAAAAGGAGAGAAGAGAGGAGAAGAGAGAGGAAGAACGAGACAAAAATTTGAGCACGAAAAGATCTGTATAGGTACCTGTATTTATACCCGAATACCTGGTAGCAATTTACAATGTCTAAGATACGGACGATCGTGCCGCTTCATACTAACCACAAACCACACATCCATGATAGAGTGAGCGCCACCGCGGAGCTTTTGACAGCACCAGGACATTTTTGCCATTCTGAGCGGGATGCCTGTGCCGACGTGTTCGCAGTGACAAGAGCTGAAAGCGACTTTGCAGGGATCTCAGTCCCATGCACTGTTTGTCACACTCCCTCTTTTTTCCTTTTTCCATGCAAGCCACAGCAAGCCATGCAGCGAAACAAACATCCGGTTCTGGGTGAGAAACGCACAGGCACTAGGACTGGGCACTGGAAAGCATGTGCCTGTTGAGCGGTGAGGGCAGCATGCAGTCTGTTGCCATGCATCTGAGGAAGCGCGAGACATTCTAGTTGCTTCCATGTCTGTATACATGTATGTTGTAAGGCTGCTCAAGACAGGGTGATACGAGACGGAGAATATAACGATACCTTCCATGTCGGTTTACAGCCTGTACCGTGTATACTGAAAGCCCCCCCCCCTCTCTCTTTGCAAAACGGATCATTGCTTTCACCACCTAGCCAGCTCCCGCACAAATGGCCACCTGAACACCAGTACATGTATGCCGGTAGGCGACGTTACACAAAGGGAGCCTTCTGAAATGAAGAGGTCGAGCAAGATGCATGGTGGCGTACCAATGGCAGGGATTGTGTCTTGGTTGCCTTATGTTTCCTCTTTGCTCTCAGAGTCGCTAATAAGAACTGGACCATATAGACGAATCACACGAGAGGGAGCATCCCGGGTTCATGCCATCACTCCATGCTGCCTCGCCCTATATCAGACATGAATAATACTTGCCAGGTAGCAACGCATATTACTACATGTACTATGTACTCTATGCCAGGGTTCATGCCGGCTCTCTACCCATAACATGTCCTAATCCATGTTGACTGATACCAACATACATGTACATATGCTCCTCGTGCCCAACTCCACCACATCTCATTGTCTTGGCCCATGCAGCTCGTACATGCATGTATCTCGCGAGTGTCAATATCAAGCATCTCTCAGTTGACGTTTGACAATCAGGTGGAATTAGTCATGGATGTCGGGTACCTTTCAGAGTGCTAACCGTTTGCTGTAAGCGGCATCAAATCGCATGGATGGATGGGGCCTTTTCAAGTGGCTAAGCTCCTGCATGCCGCTAAAACAGACAGCTGAGGTGGTTTTAGGACACTGTGTCCCGCACGGAGTGCAGTAGCCCGGTTTTGAATGAAGCCGTTGCGTCGTCCGCGTATCTCAACAGTCGGTTAACTGAGAGGAAAGACAGAGGAAATAGAAGCGAGAAGAGGCTAGAGAGAGCTGCTTTAAGCCTTATATAGAGCCAGAACATCCTGTACACTGTGCTGAGGCTGGTTAGTTCAACATTGCTGCCTTTCAACCCGGCCATTGTGCGAGTATCAGGGCCGGCATCATTGCGGAGTAGCACATGCAAGGGAGTGGCTACCTGGTATCACATTGGTACGGCTGGAAATGAAAGCAGCCGCCCAATCAATGTTGGACGTGGGGACACAGACACAGCGGCTGCGAGGCAACGAAGATGGCAGTTGAGGTTGTATTCGAGTCGTCCTTCGGGCTCGGTCGGGTATTCTACCTCGGGTTCGGCCAACGCAGGGCTGCGAAACTCCCAGCTTCATCGACCTCTTAGCACTTTGTATAAGTAGGGGAGAGTTGTCAGTTAATAATGTTGATTCATGGGATGACGAAGTGAGGTTGAGGAGGTGCACGTTACTCGCTGGCAAAAGATGCTAAGCCTTCAGTTAATGTATGCACTTCCGTCAGAATTCCGTGTTCTATCCGAATCTGCCGTAACGAGATGGGCCGAATAACTGGGTTCGAGAGCTTCAAATGATGAATTGCGTCACCATGTGAATGAATAAGGCTACCGTCTATCAACTCCGTGATAACAACGCATCCGCTGCAGCGATGCTCCCGTGCGACGTCTTCCCAAGCCCCGATCACAGCAGGCCCCAGGACAAATTCCCACGTTGCTTTTCGGGTGATCACAGCAGGCTGCCCTCCCTCGGCCTTCTGGTATCTGAAAAGTATCGCCATTCCCTTCGTCCCGTTCCAAAGCTCCATTACTTGAAGATTTGGCATTTTCATGGCGGCGGCTGATGCTGCGATGAGCATGGCGTCGATGCCCACCGAGCACGCACCGGGTCCAAGTAGCCTCGAAGTCATCGCAAGCCAAGTCAAGTTGGGCCACGTCCAGGAAGGCTCGAGAGCTTGGAAGAAATAGCTAGCATCCACCATGATCGACGCTGAGAGGTGCTCAAGCTTAAGGCTGGCTTTGGCGACTGCGCGGCTGATTTCAAAAGTCGAGACTCGAAGAGGATCACACCCTGCGAAATCAAGAAGGTACTGTGGATTGTAGATCTCGAATAGCACAAGCTTCCGTAGTTGTCTAAAAGTGAGCGATTCGGAAAGTGATATGAGATCTACCTTACACCAAAGACGAGGTCACCTGCGGTTAGCATGACGAAGATCGAGGCATTGGCTTAATGCGCTTACCTCGATCTGTCGACGCCTGTCGGAAATCAAACCATTCCATCCAAGGCTCGTAGTGAAAATCCTCGAGCCTAGGGAAATGGGCAAACATATAGTTCAGGGTTTTCGGCTTCCATCGTCGGCGGGTTTGTTGGCGTAGCAATACAGCCGTGACTGCTGGAACTACTGGCAATTTCTGCCACCACTGTTCTTCTTGTTGATCATTATCGAATGGCTTTTTTTCGCCCAAAATCTCAGCGAAAACTTTTTGAAAAGCAAAGACGTTCGGGGCAGAAGCTCGCCTGCCACCAATCCAACCATGGTTGTTCAATTTGGCCACCGGAGACAGCTCTGAGCTTCGACGGGGGCCGCGCACGCCAGAGGCAGCATCAGGCTCAAAAGTCAGATATTTGAACCAATGCAGTGGATCACTAGGAGAATGAACACTGATATCGAGCACTAAGCTGCCGCTTGGTTTCCAAGTACTGAGAGTTCTGAAGAGCTTCGTGAATGTTGTTATGACTCGGAGGTTATCCGCAAAACCTATTCCCAAGATCTCGTTATCAGGGTCACATTCAGTGCAATCGTATTCTTCGAGTTCCAAGCAAAGCCATATGTAGCGCACGAGAGCCTGATTACGATGGATCATTGAACCGAAATCTGCGAGGCGAAAAGGTGTCAACGTGATTCGTGCAAAGGTGTGCTTTTCGATGATCGTTTGCCATTCTTGCGATACTGTGGCGAAGCCAGCGAGGCTACAGCCGTCCTTCAACAAAAATTCTAGGACCAAACCCCGAATCTCTGCTGGTAGATAGGTCCAAGATGTCTTGCTGGCGGTTGACATTGATATCACTTTATCAACAAATGATTGGAAGGGTGTTGCTTTTACCAACGACAAGAAGAGGGAGAGTTTGATATATAGACAAGAGTGCTGCTAGTCGACATTAAAATGATGGAGAGTTTGATAGACAGACGAGAGTGCTTGCTAGAGCGGCTGGGTATTTTATATAACCTCGTTGCCCAGGTGATGTGTAGAGACTACTAATTACGAATCGAGGCTCATAAGCACTTTATTTTGGTAAGGTTGTGTAATGGCTGAAAGAACTACCTATTAAACGAAAATGCATTTATTCAAGCACGTACCTTCCTGAAGAATTCCGGAAATGCAAAGATGACGACTACGAAAGTTTTCTTCACTTGGTGTGGAAAGCTTACCAAAATCCCAGCAATCAAATTAAAAGTCTTCCTCATTCGACAGATGAGTCGAAATCGCGATGAGGCGGGCAGCTGATAGACCAGGTCATCACGAAGCTGATCGGATCTCAGGCTGTTATGGACATGTACCCAGTAGCTTTGAATAAGGTTCCATGTTGTTTTCAATTGTACACTGACATCTGTCAAGTCAATGCGGGGTTCTTTAGATGCCTGTCTAAGTCGGAAGGAGATATTCCCGTCTTGCTCAATTGCAAGACCTTTGACCAGCTGCTCTGATGTTGGACATGATAATAGAGCAAAGAATCCTGCATTCAAATATCGACTTTCTTGCTGCCCGCTGCTATTGATAGCATCTTGGTCGTTTTTACTGTCTGCTACCCTCTACTACTAGATACTATTTGCTATTATCTGCTACTGTCTGTTACTGTCTGCTACTGCCTCTATCAAGGACGGAAATAGCGTCTACTCGCTGCTATTATCACCATATTCTTTTAAGAGAGGGACTATCAGCTGCTATACCGACACACAGCATCAATCATCTTCGTACCTTATAGTACCTAGTAGGTATGAGTAGACGAAATCCCCATACGAAATCCCCATACACACTTCAACCCACTCGTACACGTACAGTAACGGAGCACCTGCAATGCACTCCATCAATGCTTTTTGCTAGGGCACATACGAGCCCCCATGTGGACCCCAACCCGTACGTAACATACGAAGAGAGCCCGCCTCTATAAATATCCCCCCAATGCTCCGTGCCATCTTCACGATATCGCACGGTGCCAGTCTCAGGTACAAGGTACTAGTTAGCCGCCGAGAGGAATGCGGCACAGTCAGGTACAGGTACTCCGGATTCGGTGCGACATGCTCTATCACCGACCTACCAGATCTTGTTCGCCCCTGCGATTCGCCGCGTGCATCCCGCCCACTAACCACAGCCCGCCCAATCGTACCACAGCACGCTAAAGTCCTCTCTTGCAACCCGACTTCAACCACCAAGCCGTCCAATCATCCCCTAGCCGAGCTTCAATCCTGTCGGCACAGCCCTCTTGCTCTTGGTCGCTGAATACGGCGGCGCACAAGGCGAACCGCCCGCACTTCCCAGCCCTCGCCTCCTCCGTCCCCGGAAGCTCGACGAGGTCCAAGCGGCTTCAAAGGGGTGGCGAGCCGGGCAACGAGAGACTCAGACTCAGACTCTCCGAGCGCATCGACTCTGCTCTATCTATCGAGTTCATCTGAATCGCCCTCACCCAAGTGTCGACGACAATGGCGTCGCGAGCAAACGATGGGCCTTCCCGGCCCGACGTGGGCGACGTCTTGATGGTGATCCGTACGTCTTCGTACTCCCCCCGCAGGGCAATGCGCCGAGATTCCGACTACTAACCCTCTTCTTGTTGATTCAGACGACTTTATTGCCCGCAGCTCGGATGAGCTGAGCCTAAAGAAGGGAGACCGAGTCGAGTTACTAGAACGAGACGACGAGTTTGGTGATGGATGGTTCCTGGGTCGGCACGTCGCGAACAACAATACTGGCCTCTTCCCCGAAGGTTCGTCGCTTTACGTACACGTCACTTGATGGATGAATCTTCTGCTAACTGGCTAATTCGCTAGTCTATACCCGACCAAACCCAAGAGCCGTTTCGAACCCAACCTCGACTCCTGCCTTCGTAGCCTCACAACCGCTGTCACCCTTGGTGGAGGTTACACAAGAAGCATCCCTCCAAGGCACCGCGAGTAATATTGCTTCGGCCAGTACATCTACCGTACCTCTGTCTTCAAGCGCGATGCCATCTGCTTTGCCAGCGCATCTGGTCAAAGCTGAATCAGCTCCTGTGTCTGGTCTGGGTGGCACAGGATCACCTGTTTCCGGCCTTGACAGCGCGGGACAGGACGAGTTTCTAAATGAGACTTTGAACGTTATCAACGAGCACATTACTCATTTGCAGTCACCGCCTGGCACTAGCCATGGCAACGCTGCCGCCACAGACTCCGGCAGCGAGTACAGCGTTGCGATTGACCACCGAATGTCGTATATCCAAGGAGAAGAGACGGACGAAGAAGAAGAGGCAGTACATAGTCGCGCCGAGGTGGAGGCCTGGTCCCCAGACGACGTGGCCGAATATCTCTTTACTGAGGGCGTGGAGAAGCACCACTGCGAAGTTTTTAGGGACCAGGAAATTTCCGGCGAAGTGTTATTAAGCATGGATCAGAGCTCCCTGTTCATCAAGGATTTCGACCTAGGCTCCGTCGGCCGCCGCCTTAAAACGTGGCAGAAGATTAAGGCTCTCCAAGATGAGGTTAGTGTCGACGAACCAGATTCAAGGCGCGCCACGCATACGCGCGGCAGCGATGGCGGATCCGAGGACGCGAAACGGACGAGAAGTCGAACGAGCACCCTGACAGGGAACTCAATATCACGACCCACCTCCGTCCAGGCTAGGCGCCTGTCCCTGGCTCAGTCATCTAACAAGGCCTCTCCAGCCGCTCATATGACCCCAACAAATGGCACTCAGGAGAGCCCATCACGTACACACCTCAAGCGGCCATCGGCAGCGTCCATTCGGGACCTCAACCACTCACGACGACACTCATCGACCGAATTCCGCCTTCCAGGCTCCAATGCGACGGTGCCCAAGGTATCGGCAAACGCGAATCTCTCTGCCGGTGGTGATGGCGTGCATAAGAAACAGCCTTCCTTTGATCGAAACTGGACCCTGGGCGGCGCTGTCTCGCAGACTTCTCAAAGACCGCTCTCCTCCACGGGACTACAAGAAATGCTAGGCGTATCCGAACAAGATTTGCAGGACTCGGCCGTCGAGCTGGATCGAGGCTACTTTTCCGGCACTGAGGTAGATGGACGGAAGCGCAATGTCTTGCGGAAACGTGATAGCGCTAACTACGGGACTCAGCAGAGCTACGCGGACGAGCAGAGAGTACGTAGCGCAACCGCCCTCTCCCGACACTCCAGATACGGTAGCGTCGATTCTTTCCGGGATGGAGCGCCGTCTGCCGCTCAGAAATACTATGGCATCCAACCGACTCCCCACAAACGAAACGCCTCCACGAACACGACCGATTCTGTTCGCCCACCGCCCCCAGCCAAGGATGGACCTGCTCCCGCCGTCACCAAGCTGGATACTGTAGTCAGCCCTACCCAGACGGAATCATCGCCAATTGTCGGCAGAGCCCAGGGCCTCAGTGCCGACTGGCTCTCATCAGTGACCAAGCCAGTCGGCAAAGCCACTCGACCAGCAATGCGAGCCATTTCGGATAAGCTCACATTTGAGAGATCCAAGGGTGGTGGATCAGCTGATCTATCGACTAATGAGCCGCCCTTGCCTTCTCCCGTGCGAACAGGATCCAGCACCGCTTCAGCAGGACAAAGCCTCGATCTCGACTCTCATGAGGGCCTCAAAAGTCCCGTCACGGCAACGGCTCCGAGCAACAAGAAGGGTGGAAAGAAGGGCAAGAAGGAAACGAGTGCCTACACTCAGGGCTTATTGAAAATATCGCCGCAGGTGGCCATGAAGGATGCTGATTACTACGGCTGGATGAAGAAGAAGAGCTCCAACCTGATGACAACATGGAAGCCCCGATTCTTTGTTCTCAAGGGACGCCGACTTGCCTATTACTACTCTGAAGACGACGACCAAGAGAAGGGCCTTATTGACATCTCATTCCACCGTGTGCTGCCGGCCGATAACGAGAGGCTGACCGGATTACATGCTACATTAACTGGCGCAGGCGGCGGGCCAAGCATGCCAGGCAGTCACAGCAGTCCCGCAGGGGATGATGGTGCAGGCGTGGACAAGGGTGACGATACCATGTTCATCTTCAAATTGGTCCCACCGCGAGCGGGCCTATCCAAAGGCGTCAGCTTCACCAAGCCGACGGTTCACTACTTTGCTGTGCCAAACCTCAAGCAGGGCCGTCTTTGGATGGCTGCCTTGATGAAGTCGACAATCGAGCGGGATGACACCCAACCAATCACGACGACGTATCAGCAAAAGACAATATCTCTTGCCAAGGCGAAACAGATGCGCCATCGCCCTCCGGGCTTTGAAGACAGCCAGATGGCACCACAAGACGGTGAAGCGGATGGCGCAGACAAGTTGGCAGCTCTCAAGATTGACGGCGCTCGCTTAGACGTCAATTTTGGTGACAAGGACGGTACTTTCTCCCCCCTGAGTGCATAGAGCGCATTACGGCGGAAGAAGACTCGAATTTTCTCGCCCTTGAGCACATAGAGCACACGCTATAGTACAACGGAAGAGGGGCTTGAAAAAGGGGAGGAAATGAAATCTCAACGTATCATGAAGGGCGATTTCGCCAGAAGGAAATATTTTTTAACCACTCGGAAACTTGACATGAGAATGGCTTTGACAGCCAAATGAGAAAGACTCGATGATGAGAACCTTTGATCACTTATTTTTCTCTCTTGCCACTTTAATACTTTTGTTCTGTTTCTTCGTCTCCCTTTTTTTTCTGGGGGATGATTTGGGGCTGTCTTCTCTGCTCTTTCTTGTTTCTCTCGACTTATTTTCTTGCTTGAAAGGGGGGAAGCGTGTCTATATATCCATCTATTGATTCTTTCGCTTGGTTTTTTTTTTTTTTGGTCCTCTTTCGCATGCGTCAAGACTCGCCTGTTTTTCTGGTGAGGGAAAAAGTCAGCTAATATAAGCTAATTGCTGTTTACAATCGCCGTCATGGCGAGAAATCAGACTGCTGCAAACGTCTATTTTCAAAATGCTTCTCCTGCTCGATCCCACTCCCAATTGCTTTTTTTTCCCTTGCACTTCGATGAGAAGGGAGTAGAATGTTGGGAAAGGGAGTAGTGCGCTTAGGAAGGGAATTTCTTTGCATGTTTTTTTGTCTTTGTTTGTGTGTGTCTTTTTGCTTTTCCCCCCTTTTTACCCACTGTTATTTAAATTCGGCGCTGTGTGGAGGGTGTGCAGTGCTGAACAAGACGAGAGAGAGAAGGAGGCAAGTAGAGAAGAAGAAGAAGAAGCGGGAAAAAAGAAAAAGTTCCCACAAAGTGAGGGAAAGGTTGTTTTATATGGAATGAATGAATGGGAAAGAGAGGGTTGATTGGAGAGAGAGGTGTTGTTCTAGAGCTTTACCTATGGAAGATTTCGTTTTCTCTTCTCTTTCTAGTACGCAACACTAATTGATGAGATTCTTTCTGATGTCTTTGTCATTTTTTTTATTTTATTAAGGAGTGGCTACTTGGTGTAGCAGTATCCTAAATTTGGACTATATACTGTGATAGGGAAGGGAGGCTATGAATGTGTCATGTCTGGGTAGTTATTATATTGTACGTATATAGATAAGTAGTTTCTATAGAGGTATATTTTTCCATTACGAGAAATGCTAGAGATACTAGATATACTAGAAGAGATCCCAAATGATATGTAGTTGTGTTCTCAGATAGCAACAACTAGCAGAAATATTACCGCCACGGTACCTTTTCCTAACAATCCTTCATTTCATATAATTGCAACACCTTGTGTATAAGATACAGAGCCTAGATTGCTGGAAAGGAAATGTAAATGCGCGCTCTGCTTGGGGCCGATGAAAGTGTCAAAATTGCTGAGAGAGAGGTCGTGATAGCTTGGTGATTTGAAGAATCATCAGTCGGAAAGAGGCTCCTAGGGTATTAACTATTGCCTAGCTAATCATTGTTTTAACGTACATATTGCACGCTGGTTTAAATCAAGAGCAAGATTCACAATTAGTCACATCAACATCACCAACATCAACTTGACAATCACTTCAATCCAAGCCCGAAATGCAGTTACGACTCTCACTCATATTCGTCAATAGAAATGCGGAGATGAAAAAAAAGAAGACGCTACCATATTATATAGGGGCTTGTACCAAGCCATGGCCCCAGACAAAAGACGGCAAAAAATATGTATACCCGTGTCAGTCCTTTTCATCTAGTGGCCGAAACGCCCCCCAGCAGTTCATTTTTGTGCCCCATAAACTCCCACCCCCTGCTGCGGACAGCACAGCCTTTGTACAAATGATTGGCTCATCCCCATTCATCAAAATCCTACATCAATCCTCCCCTAGTCATTAACCCCCATGCTTCTCTCAGACACATCTTTGACACCTCAAACTTATCCATGAATCAATCACCTTGTAGCTTTTGGTTCATGCCCTGGAGGAGCTGCCGGATCGACTTCATGAGATGCTGCTCGACTCCTTCAAAGTTGCTCACCGGCTCGCCTTCTGCAGCTTTGGGCATGATGCTCGCATCTGCAAGGCCAATGACACGATCGATGGCAGACAGAGTCACAGCCTCGGCCTTGGCCTCACCTAGGCCTGCCTTGATTGCATTGACAGAGGCATCCTTGAGGCCGTTCAACGCAGCCAACACCTTGGGTTCGAAAACAGGTGGTGTGTCTGTCGGCAACGCGGTGGAACTGCCGGGCGTGGGGCTTTTACCCTTGGTAAAGCCATCGATGACCTGCCGGATTCCCTTGATACAGATCGCTTCCATCTTGTCGTTTTCAGTGGCCTCTTTCTTGAGTCCAATGCACCTGTTGAGAGCTGACATGACGATGGCCTCGGCCTTGGGATTGCCAGCTTTCTTAAGGTTTTCCACCAAGCCGTTCTTGAGGCCGACAACTGCGGTGAGGAGGCGGGGTTCGATGATCGGCCGAGCAGGTGCGGCTGATGCTCGAGATTGTGGTGGGTGAGCGGCGGCTTGCGCAGTCGTCTGTTGAGATGCTGGTACAGCACCTGAAACTGCCGCCTTTGATTCAGTGGTGGCCGCCGGAATGATTGTTCGGGGTGGCTGCTGGCCGGGCGCAATGGCAGCGGCCGGTACACCAGCGCCACTGTCCTCAGCTTTAACAGCTGGGCTTGCCAATGGAGGAGGCCTTGAGGCATACGGCGAACTGTATGCTCCAGGTTGTGTCACCCCCAGCTGGGGGCGAGCCGGGGCTGCTGGCGGACCATATCCTGGCAACTGTATCGGAGCCGGAGGCGGAGCGCCCCCGGCTGGTTGAACTGGCTGGTGTCCAGGGGGCGACTGTGATGCGCCATACTGCACTGGGCGCGCCGCGTGGCTCGGCTGTACAGCATATGCAGGTGCTTGGTATCCCGGAACTTGTGCTTGGCCTGGGGGATAGCCAGGATGTGCCCCAGGAGCCATGTGCTGTGCGGCGTACGGATACGAGTAATGCCCATACGCCTGCGCTGCCGCCAGTCCCCGATCCGGAGAGGATGCCTTCCTCTTCTTGCCAGCATCCAACTCAACACCAGGTACTCGAGACCACAGATTTGTCGTCTCATCCTTCTTAAACGCTTCGTTCCCAATCAAGTTGTGGCGAACGCTGCTCTCCCATCCCTTTGTCTCGGTGTGGAAATAAAACCACGGGTATCTTTGGCAAATTCTCTTGTAGATTTGCTTCAATGTGAGACCGTCAGGGCCTGCCGCTGTCAACGTTTCATCGATAAGAACACCATAATTCTTGTTGGGCTTCTGGAGCTGCTCCTCGGTGTAATCTTCAATCTTGAGCTCCAGGGGCGGCGACTTGGGCCGCGCCTTCTTTTCCTTCTTCTCTCTTGCTCGTCTCTCCGCATCAGAGCCTTCGGCGCCGTCCTCATTCTTGGGCTTCCGAGGCTTGTACTTGCGCTTCTCTGGACGGTCGACTCCGTCTTCAGGCAAGGGGTGTTTCCGAGGCCGTCCGACTTTGCGCTTGATAGGCGGCTCAACGGGCGGTGCTTGAGGCAGCGTCTTCTTGGCCATTTCTTGCTGCTGCTTCTTAAGCAAGCGCTGTTCTCTCTTTGACATGATACCATTCTTGGGTGGCCTGCCAGGGCCCCTCTTTCTGGGTATCTGTGGCATGGAGAGGTCGTTATTGGCTTCTCCTTCGTCTTTAATTTCAGAATCGCCCTCGATGGATGCTTCAGGCACATCTGCATCGCCCTCTTCATCGTCATCGTCGCCCTCCTCTTCCTCCTCTTCCTCCTCCTCGCCCTCTTCTTCAGCCCTCTCTTCCTCTCCCTCCTCCTCATCATCCCCACCAAAGTCGGACAATTCCGCCGGGCTGACATCCACATCTGACAACTCATCGCTCGTATCTTGAATCTGACCATTGCCATGTGATTGTTCAAAGTCGAAGCTCATACTCTTTCCACCGTGAGCATGCCGCTTCTTTTTGGCATCTTCTTCCTGATACTCTTCTGCGCCGGTTCTTCCTCTCTCCACGCCGTTGATAATGAATCTGAAGCCAACATCCTTGATCTGAAGGCGATCTCCGCACTTTAAGACGACCTTTTCGCTCTTGTAATGCACATCCTCGCAGAAAAAGCCGTTCTTGTGCAGAGGGATTGCTTCAAACACACCCTCGTCTTGATTATAGGCAATTTTTAGATGTTCCCGCGATATGGCTTTGGTTTTGCTTGCAATGTTTGGGCCGGGGGAGTGGATACCAATGAATGGAACATGCCAAGGGGACGGCCTTAATGAGGCCAAGTCGACGGCAGCTGCTCCTGGGGTATGTGAGACGTATTGACGGTTTGATATGACGCTGTCCTGGGGATTCTCGGTTTCGTTTTGCTGTGATGATCCTGTCGTGCTGGTCTTACGCCGCTTTGCCGGACGCCCGTTTTCTTCGCTATCTGATTCCGGGCCAAGCATGCCACCCTCCTCACTGACATAGGATTTACTAAACTTGTGACGATCATGAGCCAGGGGGGATGGCGGCGGAAGTCCCTTGCTGGCGTTGTCCTCGACTCGCCGCTGATACTCATCAGCACGCTTTCCATCGCGCCTGGCTTGTTCCAGAGCTCGCTGGTCACGGCCGATGATGACGGCGTAAGTGGTCATCTGAAAGACACTGTCGGCAAACTCTACACGAGCAAAGGACTCGAGGCCCATGTCGGGGTCAGCCTGCCGAAGGTTATTAGCGGCGCCCGCGCCAAAGTACCCATCTCCCATGAGATTTGGCAGCGTCATCTGAGACGGAGTTACGGTAGGCGGCGGGGACATGGCGGGTGGTGCCGCTGACATGGAGGCCAAAGCCATCATCATGTATGCATGACGATGGTCTATAGCGGCGGCCTGTTGTGTGTAGGACGTTGAAGGCTGGATTTGCTCTGTCGTAGCCACCGGAGCAGTCTGCACTGTAGATGTTGGGAGCGGCGCCTCAGCTGCTGCTGCGGTAGCCGCGCCGGCAACAGGAGCATCCACCATTGTAACGTCCTCGCTCCCGTTTTCCACCGAAGAAATTTTATCTTTCGGCTCGCCAGAGCCAGTGGTCCCAGAGGTGTTTGGTGTTGGTGTAACGGGTGGCTCCATGCCGCTGTCGGTCTTGGCACCAGCGTCAGCTGTTGGAGGCGGCACCATCGGAGTCGTCTGTTGATTTGTGTTGGAATCTGCAGAGGATGAGGTTGCTGGAATATCTGTTGATGCAGGTGTCTGCTGCATGGGCGCAGCAGAAGCGGAATTTGTCGGGGGCGCTGATGACGTCGCTGTTGATGTTGCAGGTACGGTAGTTGGTGCTGCTGTTGCTGTCGGTGTTGTATCAGCAAGTGATGGTCTATCTCCGCCTTGAAGACCGGGCTGAGGACCGGATGACGGGTTCTTGTCGCCGGTTGAGGCTTCCATCGCGGCCCCGGCCTCAAGCTCAGGCTCCCGTCCAGGCTCTTGCGCCGGCTCTTGCACGGCTCCGGGCAGCGTCGCAGCAGCTCCCGGCCTTGGATCGTCGGACAGTCGCTCAGTGGCAGCAGCTAGCGAAGGCGCTGGAGTCGTGGAAGCTGCGGCTGGTGCTGATGCGTGGGCGGCGGGATTGGCATGGTGATGGTGATGGCCGTCGAGGCTGAGGGCGCTGGACGAAGTCATCGCTGCTGGCTGGCTGCAACAGCTCCTTCGCCAGGGCTGCGAATCGCTGCGTGTCGACCGAGAGACGAGAGAAAGCCTCTCCGGGCGAGGGCGTCTGTTGCTGGCCGATTTGCTGCTCGTCTCTGCAGGCGGACCTCGAGCAACGGGCGTCCAGAGCAGAAGCTGCGATCCTTTTGCAGCCTCTTCTTTGTCTTTGAACTTTCTGGCGCGATTGCCGGGGAGGGTCACAGGCGCGATCCGGCCCGCTGATTGGCTGGAGGCGAAGCCTTTCTGGAGCCTCCTCACCAGTTCCGGGTCGCTCTAGCCGCTAAGAGCAGGCCCGGGAAAAAAAATAAAGAGGCCCAGCAGGGAAAACTTTGGGCGTTTGCTAAGGCGATTGTCGGTTCCCCGCGTTGATGCGCTCCGTTTCGGTTCGGTTCCTGTTGAGCCGTTTGGCTCTTTTTTGCCTCGTGGGTTTGTTTTGTTTTGTTTTTGTCTCCTTTTTTTGCTCTTGTTTCTTTTAGGCAATGAATGCTACTAGATGATGACTCATTCTAGCGGTGCGCATCTACGTATTCGTAGTTTGGGCAAGCTGTATCACCGCGCACCTGCAAGAGTACCTACCTCTTGATCGTATTGAGGCTTCTAGATGGGAGATACCTTCGTAGTGCGCCATTCTTCAAGATGCATCGCTCATTTTTTCTTTTTTTCTCATTCCCGGGCGCAATAAGAATACGAGTCATAGATGACAAAGGTGACTGAATATGCTTATCTCTCTTCCCTCGCAGTATATTCCACTTGTATCATCCGTGAACTTTAGGTACGCAGTTTGTATGCAAAGCAATGACGAGACCTGATCTAATGCACGGCAAATGTACTTGCTTGCCTAGGTACATGCCTGACACTTCTCCGAGCTATCCGTTTTAGTGCTGCTGCTTGTACCTGCTCTAGCGGTACCTGTTTTGCTCGTCCCCTTCAATATCCAACCGGCTACTTGTACCTCGTTGAACAATGGCATCAATTCGCAGCACAAAGGCTCATATTGTTATCTTGCAGCTCCATCAGGTCAAACTCACTCGCTCCAAGCTTTTTCTCTCCCTCGCTCCTCAGGAATACGCAGCCCATCCATCCATCCATTGGTCGGCTATTTTAATCCTGCCGTCTGATTCGCTGTCTCATTCACCTCAGCTGCTAAAAGTGGTTCATGAGCGGCTAATGTAACAGAACTGGCATCACCACGGCCACTCAAAGAGCTCGCTCTGTGCAAGTAACACAGGATGCGTTCTCAGACATGATAGAGTTGGCGCCACGGTCCAGGGGCTGAACACTGTTGCAAGTATGCTTCGCTGATTGCCAATGGCGTCCTGAAACGCCGCAGCACAAAAAAGTGAACACAAAATGAGTGTTGGTCAGGCCTCCGTTTGTACTCGAGGGTAGGCGGCATATCATATATTCGAGGCCATGCCGCCGGTTGGTTTTCATGTGTCGCATTTTCCTTTCCTTTCGTTTTTTCCGTAGCAGTAGAGGTGTCATTTTCCTTTTTATCAGATCCATTTATCAATTACACATTCATTTTCTATAAACCAAGTCGAGAAAAAACAAGAAAACAAGATGCCGAGATTCGAGATCCAGATTCATCGCCCCGGTCGATACCCCCGGCCCTTTCATCTCCAACCCTCCAGCTCTCCAAACTCCAACACCCAAAAGCCGAGCCTCAAGCATGCCAACTCCGAACACTCTCGCTATGTCCAGATGCTCCTCCAGCAAGATGACATTCCTTTGTTGCACAACATTCTCGCCTCCGTATTCGTCTGGCTCCTGCTGGCAGGATTCCTCGTCTTCCCCGGAACATTCACAAGTCTCCAGGCCTCGGTTGCGAAGCAGGGCGACAACGACCATACCTTTTCAGACCAAGCCGCCAAGCTCCTCGTAAAGAGCATCAAGAACATTCCTCTTCTTGTCATCGCTGCCGTAATGTGTGGCATCTCCGCCATCGGCATGCTCACTCTCACCATCCTCCATGCGAAAAACTACGTCTGGATCGTGAACAAGTTGTTTCTGCCGGGCATGACCAATTCTCTGGCTGGATTGGTGTCGACGCTCATTGGCGTGTACTCTCAACAACATGGCACTTGGAGCATCACAGCCCGCATTACTGCTATTGCTGAGGGAGCTTCACTCGTGGTCTGTGGCGGGCTTTTCCTCTTTTGCCGGTTGGCTCTCTTGAGCAAGGTTAAGGAAAGCCATGAAGAGCACTACAAAAGTTGGCCGGGACATAGATATTCAAAGCAACTGTTCCAGGATAAGCCGACATGACCTCTTATAAGGAATGACGATGCAATCTAAACCCAAAAAATGCACTTCGCTGGCGAAGAATGAGATATGAAAACTTCGGATGGATAGGAGGAAACAGGAAACTTGGCAGAGGATAGACATTAATCATTAATTAATTACTCAATTTAGACGACCCTTTGTCAGTCCCTATTTATGACAGCTTCGTCATAGCAATGGTGAACGCTCGCTCGAGAGGATAGATCGACGGCTTTTCCAGCTCACGAATCGTTCCGAGAGTCTATATGAGCTGTGACAAAGCATGCCGGCCAAGAAACCAACCGCATCATTCCTGAATGCGAGGAGACCGGCCGTTGTAACTAGCATGACTGTCCATCTTTCGAGGCGCTCTTCATCCGATAGATGTCGATGCTGCCTCAAGCCTGCCTCATGATCTCCGTGACTAGCAGACACATGCCAGAGATCAGGGGCTCCTTGGTTCAAGGTGTGGCCGACTTTGGCCAACTCCAACCCAGCAGCCACCACCATGACGCCGAGCAGGCTCTTTGGATACTGCGTCAACAGATTGACGAGTGTCCTCCCAAACAACAGCCCCAGAAAGATCTTCAACAGGCCCAACAGGATCACGCTGGCTCCACTGCGTGCGCCGAAGCGATATTGAGCAGCGAGTCCTCCGGCGCCGTGACAGACTGGCATGGCTCCAAACCACGTACCGGTGAGGTTCATGAGCGCCACGCTCAAGCCTATGGAGGTGACGGACGGAGTTGGCAGGTCAGGGAGCAGGTCAGCAGCCAACGCACTCACCGCAATGATGGAGTTGAGAGTCGTCAGGGGAAGCTGCCCTATGGCCATCCACAAGGCCGGGGCGTCTCCGCTTCCAACCCAGGAGGGAAGCACAAAGTGCGGGTGCCACACATGGAACCACGGTAAGCTCTCATGAGAGACGAGCACCTGTACGAGGGCCAACACAAGAGCCAGGAGGAAGAAGCTCAAGGCGTAAGGGAAGCGAGGCATGTTCTGCGTAAATACCAGAACGAGGAATGCCACCAGAGCCCATATGCGGTTATCCAGCACGGGAAGGACCCAGTGAAGGGGCTGCAGCAGCGACGAGCCAGCGCCGATGATGAGGGAGAGGCCCGCCCCGAGTTGGATCCCCTTGACCACGGGGATGGGCACGACTGCTACAGCTGTTCGCAGCAAGCCCGTCACGCTCATGATGAGGACTGCCGCGCCAACCCATTGTCCAGCCGCGACAACGACGCTCATGGACGGATTCTCGCGCGCCGAGATGGCGGCCGCGGCGATGGCCTAAGTACCCGCATGAGGCGGGAAGAGGATTAGCAAACAAGTAAGGCTCCTTGGGCAGATAAGAAGACAGTCATGTATGTGTGTATGTATACGGAGTATCGTATCAAGTACCGAGGTCAAAATCTAGGGGGTAAAGAGTGCTCCACATGGCATACATATTCGTACGAGTACAGCAAGCTACTGTAGTAATAGCAGTAGTACCTTGGACATGACATACCTTCATGGGCTGCACGGGCAAGGGGATGCCAAAGACAACTCCGGTGAGGACGTTGAAGACGCCGGAAAAGACGAGTGTCGAGCCCAGGTCGATGTACCCCTTGGCCGCGAGGGCGATCATCAGGGGCAGCAGGGTGCCCAAATCGCCCAGAGAGCCGGATATCTCGGCCAGGGGCGCATCTCGAAATGTCGTCAGGTTATGGGCGTTGAGGCGCCGCACGCGGGCTAGCCATGCGCTGGCCATGTTCGGGATGACGATGGAGGCGAATGAGAGCTCAGTCGAGCTTTGATGGAGGGGGGGGGAAATACGGTATTAGGGTGGAATCACGAGAGACGTAGAAACCATGTATGTACTGAAAGATTCGGCTTCTTTAATGGAGAATGTATATATATATATGCATATTTTTGTAGGGTATTTTTTAGATGGTTTGTTTGATTCCATCACAGAGTTTCAACCTTGGAAAGTTGGCTTGGGCGCCCTTCAAGAGCGGACCTCACGTGGATGCATTACGTCGGCGGATCGATAGCTGTCTCACTCACGTGGTGCATCTCCGGCACAGCATCACGCATCTCCGCGCTTCTATTGGAGAGGCTTTTTCTTTGATGGGTGACACAGAAATAGATGAGCAAAGACGGGTCAAAAATCTACTGGTCCTCTCTGGATGTTGTGTTCTGGGCTGGGCCATGTAAAGCCGTTGTCGAAGGTCTTCTAGGTAGGGGAGCTTGTCATCGCATGAGCATCTCCCGCAAGGCCCCCAACGTAGAGCATCGGTACGGCCCATTAGCTGAAGCTTATCCCAGACTATCCCGAGCGATCGAAGCTGCCTGAAAGAAATTCCGAGTCTTTTCGCTCGTTCGATGTCGCCAGCTTTGATGCGCTGTACGCCTTATTCCATGAGGTATTATTCCCTATGCAGGGCAACTCAGCCTCAGCTGCGTATCATCGGCTGAATAGAGCTCGGGATAAGGTTGAAGCTGACAGGGCCGCGCGATGAGATCTCGTCACGTGACTCGCAAGACGTACCGCCGTTCGGTTGGGCAACGAGGGAATTGCATGCGCATCTCGACGCCGCTGCCGGTGCAGATAATATCGCAAAGGGGTCGTGTCTGTCTGAACTCGCAGGCTGGGATTCCTGATGATGACGGCTTCTCAAAGGGAGCAACCGAGAAAGGGGAGGGGGGGCCAAAATGGCAAAAAGCAATGCTTCTCGTCAGCTTATTAGTACCATTCGCCAAAACTAACAGAAGGCCAAAAATAAGACGTCCGTTCCGCCTTGTCATATCAACGGAATTCCACCGAGATATCAGGCCCAAAAATCGCTCTCCAGCTGGGCCTAAATTATTATTAAACAATTGGCCCCGTACTTTTAGGCAGGAGAGCTCATTACCGGAGGAACCGACTGTACCGGATTTGGCGCGGTCCATGGAGAAAACAACGCAGCAATAACATGTCCACTGGTACTAGTACCAGGTGCTAGCAGCAGCGCGGACGAAGTACCTGCATCAGTTTTCTCCGATATGCGCGGATATCGATATCCGGTCCACGATACCCGCCCGCGGTGAATGAAAAAAGTCTAGAAGTCGTGGAGAAGGGCTGACCGCCTGGGTCGCTTCTCCGAGAGGGAACATTGGCCTATATCTCTCGTTTTCTTTGGATCCTTTGGGAAGGGGGCGAACTGCGATTAAGGTTGGCTTCTAGAGGTCTATCTGACGGGGTCTAGTTTTGTTATAGTACATGCAACGATGGGAGAGGGCCGCATGGGCAAGAAGTCTATGCCCGATTTCGACATGAAAATGGCTCTAGAAGCACGACCTGACTGGTGTTTTTTAAGATGAGGCGACCCAATGCGATGGAGACGGGCACTTGAAGTCTAGTATTCGTAGCATCAAGTACGGAGCACCACCGACGTGTGTACGGAGAAGCTGCAGCTCGTACATGTACGGTACAAGCTAATGATGCCGCTACGTTCGTTGCTTCGGTGCCAAGGCCGGGGTACCAGAAGCAGCATGAGGTCATTGGCCGAGAGCAGCGCCAGTTCCCCCGTCTTGGACGCGAAAGGGCGACGCCAGCAGACAATCTAGAAGCACACGACACGTCCAATCAGTGCGTCCGAGTAGCTGATCATTGCAAGGGGGTGCGTGGGGATCGCTGACTGGGGGCAAAAGGAATCGGCCGCCGGAATCGCTTTTCGCACCCATTTTTTTCTTTCATGGGTTGCTTGCCTCACTTTTTTTTTTGGTTCTTATTTCCCTCTTACAAGCAAAGAAACCTGACCTGAGTCGAGGGAACAAGCCCCCCGAAAGAGGAAGGGCGCCGTCCAACTCCCGAGCTTTTGCCGGCCCCGCCGACAGCGAGCTTTGTCCGGAGTCCACGGAGCGGCTTTTATTTTTCAGCCGGGGGGGCTTTTTCCATTCTTTTTTTGCTTGTCGGGCTTGCCGGGTCGCGACACAGCGATGGGTGGAGCACAGGCGTCTGCGCTGGATGCGGTGGCCGCAAACGGAAAAGGGCAGATTTCGTTGTCACTTTGGCGGGAACAGGATTTGCGGCTGGGGGCTAGGCTGGGTTTGGCTGGATAGTGTTGCTCTGCCGTTGCCGCCGCTGGCGGTGTGTTGGTGGTGTGCTTTGCCTTGCTTTGTACTCGTACTGTAGTAGTTTTGGATGCTGAGCGGCGACGGCGAGGACGAGGAATGACGCTGATGGATGGGATGGATGGGCATGACTGGGGCGTCTTGCTATGCCGACTCGGAACGGCAGTGCCAAGTACATGCTTATTACCTGTTTGCCTTTTGCTGCCGTGACTTGTGTCGACGCCCAATTGAACGACGGGACCCGTGTAGCGGCTCGTTGACGCGCGAGGTAGCGTTGCCGTGTACTTCGTATGGCTGGCTGACTCTTGTTATCTGCCCTTCACCGGCCGGCGTGATAGTAGGGCCGCTCCTTGCTGGCGATTGTCGGTGCATGGGAATCCCGTCCCCATACTTGGGATACCGTTACAGGCAGCTGACAGTATCGGTAAGAGAAGTACGGGAGTACAAAGAAGCACGCATCGTCTGGCTATCTTTGGCAATATAATGAAAAGGGTCTATATGGGGTATTATGTACGGATATTGGAGAACCACAAATAATATCCTACTACGGAGTACATAACACGGAATCCAGCATAATATTTTTCATGGTGTGACAGGTAAGTACTAGCGATGAGAAACAATGGCTACAATCTTAGTTAGCTTTTTAGTTACGAAGCTAGGCGTCCATGATTTAGAAATGAGAAAAAAAAAAAGTAGATCCAAGAGAGAGAGGGAAAAAAGCAGCGGCATATTTCGGTCAAGGCAGCCGGCGCCGGATGATGTACACGCAAGGAGAGAGGCATAAGTCAGGACGGCACTACGACGATTAGTACCGCAGCTAGGCATAATTGTCGCCCTCTGATTGAACGATTGCAGCGATATCCGTTGCAGCCGAAGCCGCGGAGTAGTGAGTTAGTGTCGCAGCTGGAATTCTTGGAGGAGCTGCCGCTTTCCTAGCTAATTGCCAATCGCCGGTTTCCAGAATATCACTCAATCAAGCCACCCACGCATCTTGATACGCGCGCAAGGCCCGGCGTCAGAGAGTGGTGGTGTGTGCCCCGTTATTATGGCTGGCCGGGATGAAGTACGGGGTACTTGCAGCAAAAGCACGGCCTTGTAGCTGTACTTTGGTCTAATACATACCCGTTATATGCGACTGTCTGTCTGTTCTGGTCCGGAGAAGCATGACCACATACATGGACAACGGGACTGCCTCCTGGCTGGTGCGTCACACGGAGGTGAAGACGTCAATGCCGCTGAAGACTTACACGAGCAGGGGGTCCTCCTCCCCCAATTGCTATTGCCGCTTCGTGGTCCGTGAACCGTTGCAGGCGAAAAAGAATACAAGTAGAAATACATTCAAATGGCTCTCACGGAGATGTCGACTTTCGGTCGGGGGGTCATCAAAAGAGTGCACGGTACTTCGTGCTTAGCTTTTACAGGGACAAGGCGCCGGCGCGATGCAAAATTCGCGCAGGCGAAACAAAAAAAAAGAGACTCGCGCCCACTGCGACTTGGCTCTGGCCGCCGTCCCAGTTCCCCACATGGGGCGCCCGGGTAACCTGGGCGAAAAAGGCAGGGAGAGGGAATAACGAGTAACGAGTAACGAGTGAGAGCGGGAAAGGGCTAAGAGCAAAAGGGTAACACGAGTAGAGCTAGTACTAATACTAGAGGGAAAAAAAAATAAGAAAAAAAAAAGAGGACTGGGCAAGCCTCGAAAGGAAAAAAAAACCTTGGCGACCAAGAACCGCCGCACGTACCGGCCGAGACGCTAAAGCGGCCAGGGTCCAGCGCATGCCGTGTTCCGATCAAAGAATTGGAAAACTACGGAGCAAAAAGAGAGCTGGAGCGTACCTGTACACGTACCTGTTGCTCGTACCTGTACAAGCCCGTTCGCGCACAGCTCGCCGCGGGAAGCGAGTACCGCCCTTTTTCGTTGCGTCGCTGGCGAGAGTGAGAGGAACATCCGGCCGCCTCGACTGGAAATGTCGCGATGTGCCTATGCCTATGCCGTCCGTGGCCCAATTGATACACGCCCCCCGGCCCAGCCCGGAATCCTTTTTCTGCCTCGACTTTCCCGCTTGATTTTTCTTTCCTTCTTGCTCTCGGTTTTCTTGATTCTTCTTCTTCTTCCCTTCCAACCCTCTCGTCGCCCTTGGTTCGTTTGTTCCGTCTTCAGCAAATCTCCCCCAGCCGCCGCTTCGCCAATCGTCAAATCGACAATCCGGCTATAAACCCCAGTCTTTGCTGCCACTCGCCAATCCCATAACCAACAGGACAAGGACAAGAAAAAAAGGTCAGAGCGCTTGCCAAGTTTTTTCCCCCTACAGCACCAGTACTCGGTACCCCAATTGCCAATCCCAGTCCAAGTCCCTGGCCCTCGGTTTCTTTTTTTTGCTTTCGCCTCGCCTCGCCATCTTTTTTTTTTTTCCCTCCCCCCAAATCCCCAAATCGCCCAGCGCGTGGCCCGTGACGTGCGGACCCCACTTTTTGCCCCTACCGGCTGTCTCTTCCCAGAGCTGCCGTGAAACAAAACCTCAGCGCAATCCACTTACGCGACCTTTTCCAGACTTTTTGCCTTCATCCTCTCTCTTCCTCACGCCTTCAACCCAAGAGGTAAACTCGCTCCCAATTCGCTTTCCCTTCCTCAATCCGATATCACAATTACACTATCACACTCAATTCGCGAAATGCGCTCGAACGTTTCCTGTTTTTTTCTTTGATGTCGGTTGGATCTCACGTCGTCGCTGCGCACGGAGCCGCTGTCTCAGCTGTCGCAAATTTTAAGCTTCATCCGAGGCTACCGCAGCCTGTGAAACCGGCCAACCGGGTGAAGCTTAAAATCGTCGCATCTGGGCTCGCCCTCGCTGTGCGATTCTCACTGGGATTCAATGGCAATCAATTGAAGAACTGCGTATTTTTTTTGAGGCATTTGATGTGGTTTCCACAATATCCTCATTCCCCCTGTGCCTTTACCGCTTTCTCTCTCACACCCCCTGGCGCCTTTTTGCCCCGGATAACAAACTCGTTCATCAATTGAGACATATATATAATGGCACCGAGACACCCTGAGACTAACTCGACTTCTTCTCTCCAGACATACCCAAACTCTCCGCTCAAGACACAATGGCCGCCATCAACAAGCAACTCATTGCCACTCGCGCCGTGAGCGAGCTGGTCAAGCGCAAGAACTGGGCCGCCAGAGAGCCCGGTGTCATTGTCGTCTTCTGCATCGTCTTCATCGGTAAGTTCAATCCCTACAACACTTCTTCCACATAACAAAGCAAGGACATCCTTTCTAACATGGACTGCAGTCGCTGTTGGTCTCATTGGTCTGTTCATCCACAAGCAGTGCGCCAAGAGACGGGCATCCAAGTCTCAGATCTAGGCGACGACCTGAGGCTTGGGGAAGAGGGGGTTGGACTAAAGGGGGATGAATGATGAACGGGAGAGGGGACGCAGTAATGGACCGTGATTGTTAAAACGGCGAAATGGTGTTGCGCGACATTTCAAGCGTGGTTATAAACAGCGACACGTCGCGTCACGCAGCCGCCCAAAGGATAATGTTTTCACTCTGGCCACGAGCCAACACCAACCAGTCGTCATCTTGTCGTCAAGCTTGTCAACAACTTTCATGCGCGATGTATTTCTTGGAGCTCGCATGGCCGTGTACATATACGCATGCATACTTGCTCGCGTCGCGCATACACTCAAACTCACTCTCACTCACCGCCGCTCGATGGTTTGTGTGAGTAGAGAGAGAGAGAGAGAGGGCTATTGGTGTCGGAGATTTATGGAAAGGCGCGCTCGTGCTCGTGGCCACAGGATGCTATGTTCTCTATATTCTAATACTCCTGATACCTCATACAACAATCTAGTTTTAAACCATATTATAAACAATTTATATAAAGCTTTTCCTACTGTTCAAACAAACTTCGATCCCGTCTCACTCGCGCGCCTTCTATCTTCTAGTGAATCGCTCCCGGTCCTGCACTGATGCTAATCTTACACATACACATATTAATACACAATCTCATCACAATCCTTCCTTGGCCAACATGTCGGCCACATCCAGGTAAAACGCCACAGCATTAAACGTCCTCCTCATGCCCATCCACTCCCTCACCGTCCACCTCGCGCGATTCGACCAATTAATCAAATCCAAATGGCTAACTCCCATCAACGTCCCCTTGTACACTCCCCAACGACTGCTCTTGACGCTGACCAGCCCATCATTCTCCCCCTCCCTCTTGTCCACAACCCCATGAGGCAGCCGAAACGCCCCCAGCAGCGAAGGCTCGTCAATGGCCGCCCCGTACGAAAAGTATCGCACCCCTTCGTCGTCGCGCACCCGCGGGTTGAACTCCTCCCGCATGTACCGCGTCGTGAGCTGCCCGAACGCAGAGGTGCCCAGGCCAGCGCGCCGAATCACGCCGTACAGCCGCGGCAGGTGGAGCGGCCCGGCGCCGCGCTCGACCAGGTAATCCGCAAAGCTGCTCCCGCGATGCGGCGTGGCAATCGTCACGAGCGAGGCGATCTGTATGCCTGACGGGCGCAGCAGGGAGATCATGTACCGGGCGTCTAGCCCTCCCATGCTGTGGGCGATGATGTTGACGGCGGGCGGCGAAGCATGGCCTTCTGCGTCCTGGGCGGAGGGGAGCGAGGCGGCGGTTGTTTGCGCGAGGATGTCGGCGGCGAGCTTGGCGGCGCGCTCCTCGATGGAACCGGAGGGCGGGACGGTGGCGGTGATGACGGTGCAGTTGTTTGCCGTGAGGGCCTGCTTGATGCCGTTCCAGTACTCGATCGTGGGTAGAAGTGGCGAGACTCTGAGCTCGGAGAAGCCGAATAGGCCGTGAGCCAGGACAATGGGGTACTTTGGCGTAGCTGAAGTTTTTCCTTTGTTAGACAAAAGGTTTCTCCACCTAGAAGAGATGAGATATACCGTAGGTCTCGCGGATAGTAGCGTAGTCATCGTGTATAAGTCGCCCGAGGTCTCGAATGCGAGGATCGTGACGGAGCGGTTTTGTGGTGCTAAAGACCCGCGAGGCCGATGGCTGTAGGCTCAGCAGGGAGCGCGGGAGGCGAGTGCCACGCCAATGGGGCCATTGCTTCATGGCTCTGCGAGGTTTTGGCTATAGCATCAGGTGTAAGGTGAGGTTTTGGAAACTTGGTAGGTGTTGTTGAAGTAGCAGCTTGATGCTCTGTGAGCTTAGCAGGCGCAGGAAGTGCTGTTTTAGTGTGGGATGCTTGCTGACGTCACTGCGGCGATGGAGCTTTGATTTCAACGTCGCAAAACGCTTTGATGGCTTGATTACTTGCTTAAACAGCTCTATCCAGTGTAAAATTACATGCTTGCTCATTATTCAATATTATCTATATGCATAGACGAACCGTATTTTGTGCGACTTAAAATCCCCCCATCTATTTTGCCCATTCCTTTGGTATCACCTTTTTTCCCTCTTGCTAGCCTGGCCATCCATATCTCCCCAACGCAACAACAGAACAGACAGTAAATATTGGTCAGAAAACTAGCTCTTTTCTGGCATCTGACTGGGCGCGTTTTCATTCGTTACGCCGCTATAAGCTGGTCGGGGCCGTAAGCCGTCAAATGGCCCTGATAAGTTCTCTGCCATGGCTTCGTCATAACTTGGTGGTGGGACGTCCTCGTAAGCCGGAATGTCGCCGGGTGGTAGCTGTGGAGGGTATAGAGGATCTTGAGGAGGTCTTGGAGGCATAGCTGGCTGACTCGGTTGATTCGCCTGACTCGGTTGATTCGCCTGACTTGGCCGTCGCTGAGGCCTGGCAGCAGCGTTCGTATTGTTGGTGTCGGTGGCAGAAGGTCGGGAAGGTAGACGAGGAGGTCGAGACATGGTGATTTCACCTGGTCGTGTATTTCGAGCAGCTTTCAGAAGCTCAGGAGGTGGTGTAATGCCAGAAAATACATCAACGTTTGCGAAATGAAGAGGCAGATATATTGTTTGGGGTTGCGCAAAGGGGTCCTTCGTCATGGAGCCTGCCTTTGGATCGCCCCAGCTCACGCCTAGCTTGAGTTCTATTTCATATCTTCGAGTAAGGTTGCAAGTGTTGAAGGAGGGGGCAACGGTGTTTGGAAGCGGCCTGTTTCTCCAGAGTTCGTCTGGGAGCGTCACTTCTTTGCCGACTTCATCCCCTGGAGCACATATTGGGATGTGGAGGTCTGTAAAGGAGGCGACAACCCAGCGGTTGACTTTTTGGTTGAACAGCCCATGCGCACGGATTTCCGTCACACCAATCAGGTCCATCTGGAACGAGATCAGGTAGATTTGTTCACTGCTTTCTACGAGCTTCTTTGCGATGAGCCGGAGTGGGACAGGCTTATTGCACGTGAGAACTGATGGATGCGGCACCCGAGCTGAAATCTCTACTGATGGTGGCGTTGGAGAATCACCTTCAGCACCGTTCAAAGCCTCATTGGCCTTTTTGCTGCTGAACAATGAACTCCGTTTCTTTTGTCCTTTTGCCCTAGGCGTAAAAGAAAAAGGCCGTCGAGCAAAAGCTTCCTGGCCAGTGAGGGGAGGTCGCGGCGGTTCAATAGGCAGAAATTTGAATCCAATGTGGTAGCGCCAGTTCTCCTTGAGAAGCCCTGGTCGCTGGATCGTGACCTTGATGTAGTACCGGATTTCTGCTTGCATAGGAAAGCCTGTGAGGGATGGAGGAAGAGTCGCGGTAACGTGCCGTAGAAACAGCTGCTTCGAACCGTCCATGACACGGACGCCGCCCAGCCCAAAGAGGCCGCCGCCTGATCCATAGCCTCCAACACCGCCCAGGCCACCGATCTTGGCCATGGCTTCGGGATTGCTGCAGGCATTGTTGATGGGTAGCTTGAACGTGAAGGGAAACTGGTGCTGGCCGGGATCGAGGGGATATGATCCATACGGACTGGATGAGCTTTCGTAGTACTCGTCTGGGAACACCTTTACCAGTTTGTAGAGGATCTTGTGGTTTTCACCCACGATGCTGCCCGGAGGCCCCGGTGGCGGACCATTCCGATTCACGCCCGGTTCGTAGCCGTAATTTCTTGGAACCTGTAGAGCTGTACCGGACTCTCCTTCGAGTTTGACGACGATACTGCCGATCTGCTCGCTCTTTGGCAAAGTTAAGAAGACCTTGCCTGAGATGACGTCGAGGTTGGTGTAGAACTCGGGCTGGTTATTCAGCACGATTTTGATGGACATGATTAGCGACTGGCTGCTCCCGCAGTGGTGAATAATCTGCCGAAGGAAAAGAGGGAGAAATGAAAGAAGAAGAAAAACGCAAGAATGAAAAGAAAGGAGAGGGAAACAAGGAAAAAATAGCTTCGATTGTTAGGTCTCCGCAGTTGAGAATGGGGATACAAAGGGTTTTTGACCCCTTGGCAGCACGCTCGGCAATTGTTCAGACCAGGGCCAAGTCCGGCACGCTGGCATTGCTTGCGAGGCTGCGGATTCGGGGATGAGACGAGGTTGAATGAGACACAAAATAGAAACACGGAGCGGCGTCGAGAGCTGAAGGCGAGCACACGCGTCAAGTCATTTGGCGATGGGGGCGCAGCCTCGAACCTCGTGGGAGTGGAATTGGGGGAGGTTCGGCGATTGGATTGATGTCATTGCCAGTTCTGCCGCCTAAGCTGCAACTGGGCTTATCCACCGCCTGAGTGTGGCTTGCCGCGAGGCGCTGACGAAGTGCTTGAGGCGCAAAGCCCGCCGGATCCGACACTAATCGAGTGTCAGAAGTTGCATTGCTTGAGCATTGATTGGGTCCTTTCGGTAACATGGTTTGGAATATATTATGGATTATATAATCTTTGTTATAATAACTTCTTCTAGTATCTCACAGACAGAGCATATTTCCAGTGGGTAGGTAGGGAATGTTAATGTTAATGAAGATGCTGGAGGCTGGATGCTGGATCAGGTACCCGCACAACTTTGAAGCCGGTGGCCTTGGGCTGAGGATGGGCGCTACTCTACTCTAGCACTTCAAACCCACTAAGCAACGAATTGCTTGCCCTGGAGGCCATAGCTTCACGCAGCTTACTTTGCCCCCGATAAGGCCAGGGTACCGGAAAATCATCTTGATCTTCGCCATGCATCCCGTTCTTCAACCGGAATGGACTGTCCGGTTGCCCATTGGCTTGCCTCTCGCTCCACCTTGCGCACACTTGCATCGCCAGCAGCAATCGGCAGCCAGGTGAATGACAGGGGGGAGCAGCTAGCCATCGTTGCAGTTGCATTGAGGCTGGACTCGCTGCAACACCACACACTGCCTCTCGTCGCCTGACACTTGCCCTTAACCCTCGCCTCTTCTCGTTTCAGGCCCTACAGGATGGCGTCCGAACCCGAGTAATGAATACTTCACGGCTAACAGATTCACTACGCAGTAGTAGGAGCTTCTAATCTTTGTTGCAAATAATCACTGCCAACATCACACAGTCCCTGGAGCTCTGCATCGCCCGCTTTGCTAGTGCCACTAGAGACGAAAAAGCCAGGGGTCAAGCGGTTGCGGTTGTTGGTTCCAACACTCGAGCTGCATATTTCACCTCGGCCATGGCGCCATTTTCAGAGCCCAGATTCTCCAACAGCCTGCCTTGGCGCAAAGTCACGGGCCGTTGAAGCCCCTCGTTCGTGTTGCTGCGGATCCGGTGTTGGTTGTCGCCTGTTTCTCGTTGCAACGTCCTGACAAGTGCTGTTATACCAGGCCCCAGATTGTTGAATCGACAGGCTGTGCCTTGGAAAAGGTGATGGGGGCTCTTTCTACTGTCGCAACCGATGTTGAATTTGGACAGCCTTCTCGTTCTTCATCCTGGCAGCCCCGCCTCCAGAAGGATTCGTGGATATACCACATTTGATACAGCCTAGCCATTCGAGAACAGAACATGAAAGACAGCCTGGAGATTCGTTCGACGTACTTATTGTTGCCCCCTCGAAATCACATGACGGAACATCTATCAACGCACAAATGCACGACAGATAGGCAGATACATCACCAGTCGCAATCAGGAAGTTGTATATGCATGCAGCCCGTATGGCTTGACATGGTCACCGTCACACTCCTACCCTCGTTTCGAGATGGTGTGCACGCCTCGCGGCTTTTGACCGGTGGTTAGCTGCTGGGTGGCAGATTTGGCCCCCATAACTGGCCCGACGCCGGTTTCCTTGTCGTTAGAGGCCGCGGCCGAACCAGACTGCCGGATCTGGTGCTCTCGTCTCTCTGCTACATGGGTTGTCGCTTGATCTGTACAGTTCTACTGGTACAACCCAACGAACTCATGGACAACTCGGCTAGTGTACTACATGGGTCTTGACCAATCGCCGGTTACCTTTGTGGAATCGCACGGCTCGGCAGTTTACCTGAACAGGCTCTGACACTGGCCCCCCATCTTGCTGTCGTGATGCTCTTCCGCCCTCCCAGTAGACTAGATGGTGGAGAGGAAGCCTTATGCCCCCTGCTTGAGTGACACTCCAGGCAAGCCATGGCTTGTGAACCTTCTATCTAGCAGGATCTCATGGGGGCTACTCTATTGGGCTGTAATTGCCGATCCACAGCCCACCTTTGAGGCATCTACTGGCATCTACTGGGACATGGCTTCACTATTAAATACAGAGAGGCTCCCCAACCCATTCCCCCCTCAGGAGATTTACCTCCCATGGCCATAGAGTATTCGATGTGATCAAGCCAAACTATTCTTCTTCATCATGGCAAGTACCTGTGGTTCAACATGTCCTGCCGGGAACGGCTTCTTTGCAAATGATCTCAATCTTATAGGCAGTGCAGTCTTCCTCGCTGTCTTTGCTTTCTTGACTCCCACCACCTTTTACCTGGGATACCGCTTCCGAACCCCGGGCTTCTCTGCCTTAATGGCAACTGGATTATCTTTCGAGGTGTTTGGCTTTCTAGGAAGAATCCTCTTGCATGAATCGCGGGACCGCCAAGGTTACTTTGCCCTTACGCTCTTGGGGAGCATCCTAGGACCAGTCTTTATGTCTGGTGCCATGACAAGTATATTGCCACATCTACTCGTCATCTATGGACAGGGCCACGCCAGATGTCAATCCATCCTTACCACGTCCTTCCTGTTTGGTCTCTTCATAGTGAGCCTTGTACTCGACATAGTTGGGACTGTGTTTGTTGCCTACGGATATGGAGGCGTGAGCGTATGTATTGAATCCCTTTATTATGCTAAAGCTATTAGCTGACGAGATGAAAAGCGTGATAGAAGTGCCGATATAATCGCCGGAGGACTGGGTGCCCAAGCCCTCTTGTTGTTTGCCATAATCGCCGTATATGTTTGCTTCACTACGGGCTTATTCCTTAGTGATGAAGCCCCGGACCCGACACATGCGGACATCTATTATACTACACAATTTTCCAGGTTTCTTCGTTGTAAGTGCTGCTCAACTTGTCCTTCTCGGCTATATTGAATATTTATTGACATGATTTAGGTATGGAAGTAGTCTCCCTCCTGCTCTTTGCACAGACGATATATCGGATATTCGAGATGATTGGTGGTCTGAGCGGTACTCTGTTCCAGAGTGAGCCCGCTTTCATGATTATGAATGGGTTGGTCCCATTCATGGCCTGTCTCCTCTTGACGACTGCACACCCTGGCGCCGCTTTTGGGTCATCATGGGGCGCAACGTCTCCTCGATACCGAAAGCGCCGGGGCCTACCTCTTCCACCACTACAAACATCATTTAGCCATGCCGTCCATCACCGCTATGATCCCAATATTCGATCACAGTTTTCTCCTTCCACTCAAAGGCCACTTCGAGAGGCTAAACCCCCACCTACATACGGTTCTTACGGCTTACCATCTTCTCCAAGACCAGTAAACAGGCCACCAAGCCCGATGATTTTGTCGCCAATATCGGTCCGGGCTGTGAGCGCACAGATGCTAACTGAGCGATCGGAGAGATGGGCAGCACCGACAGACCTGGTAGATAGTGACGTACTATGGTGACCAGGGCTAGCAGAGTATCCAAATAGTAGACAGCATATACGAGACTGCAGATTGCCCAAGCAAGTAAGCAGCAATAAACATGATACCTTGACAAGAACTTTTTCCCGTGTGTGCATATGGAATCGGCTTCGTTCAGCCCTGGTCCTCTAGTACGATCTATGGGCCATAGAGACTAAGAACCCTGTAGAATCGCAAACGAACCTATGAGATCAATGCGGTCGCCGGGAACCATCAGCCGTCGACGGGTCTGGTTACGCGTCAGGACTTGTACACGAAGGCGCGCCTAGTTCGCTTACCGCAGGTCAAGCTCCCTTTTCCCGGAGATCGCGGATGTGAAGCCACTCGGCAACAAAAGGTCGCTTCTCGCGGAAACTGCTGGGTTGCTATGCGCGGTTTTCTTCTCGAGCGGGCGCATGCTGCGTGTGCTGCGGTTGTGATGTGATATGCGGCTCGAGGCCTTCATCACACGGCGGCTATGGTGGTGATTCGTCGAATTAACCGCCGCTTAGCACCATCCCTGTCGGACTACGGCATGCGAGGGCACTTTGGAGCCGCGTCTTTATGGAGACGGAGAGATGAGATCCATGACGGGTTTGTAATTTGTATGAGCGGCTAATGTGCCTTTGAGAAATTGACGCAGTGGCAAGAGACGGGTTGTTTGACTGGGGTAGACAGACGCAAGATGTGAAGAAGTACATCTTAACGTCGACATCGGGCGATGGTTTGGCGTGCCGGGCCGTTTGCCGCATGTGGCCTGTCATCATCTTCAATACAACATTACTAGATAGCTACTATTGAAGCCCGAGCGGGGTTGAAGGGATGCAATATCTGCAAGAATGGTGATCAACACGAGCCCTCTTGGGGCGTCTATTGTGACTGGGATGCAGATAAATGATGTGAAGACTCAACTCCCACTTTGTTGCACAGCCCAGAACTACTTAGGCATCCAGGATAATACTCAAGCTAAGAGAACATGGGACAAGAAGTTAATGACTTGGATGACCTGAAAACGGCCGCAGTTTGACTTATATCGTTACAGGTAGCTAGATAACGTACCCAGATCAAGCTAAACTAGTTGGATGTAGCTGTGTTTGCTCAGTTCCCCTTGCGCTAGCCTGGCTAACGGCGGAAGGATTCTGAGGATTTGACGCGCGAAGCAAGGGGATGCCGTCAGATCAGGCTTGTTACTATGAGTGACGGGGGGTTGGGGGCACCAACACCCATCTTTGTTAGGTGAGCATTTCATGGAGGGGGTCGCAGATGTGATTCGTTTTCCCATTTATCCGGACCACTGAGATTTCCACGACAGTGTTTTGAGTAAATGAGAAATGTACTGTTATCATGTGGTGATGGTTGGTGATTCCCATGCGCACCCAAATCACTCTTCAATGTATGGGTAAGAGTAGGTGACGATATCAACCTGGCTTTGCGATTTCGATTGTTCAGAGTACGAATGTTTTTGAAGAGACTTGATGTTGTATGATCTCTCTTGACCTTGGATATTAAGCTGTTGGACTCATAGCTAATGCTACCATGAGAGGGTGATCTGGAGTTAGCAAATCATGGGATATATTAATCGTCGTGTGAGATCCATTAGGCCCGGGAAGGAGGCTCTTACTTGGTGGTTCTCATGGTCATGGTTCTTACCAGATCGTGTTTTAGTTGTGCGGTATGTATGCATCCAAACTCCGCAAAAGCACCAACTACCTTGCAAGTAGGCAATTGATGGCAACATTCAACACAGGAGAGGACTTTCGAGCTCACCACGGAGTGATTGCTTGGCAAAGTGTACAGTTTTAGACTCCTATTGCAATATGGAGATGCCATAGAATTTAAATACAGGTCGCGACGTCAAGTTCGACTCCTTAATCCATGAAGGATGTGTAAAGGATTGGTTAAGACAGCCCCAGATAATGTAATGATGATTATTTAGTTCTGCAACTACGAAAGCCATAATTTGACTGTAAATCAACATACATTCCGTCCCAGATCAGGATACCTGAACAAATTCCCAAATGGTGCCAGCGTGCTGCCTCGTAATAATATTATCCTGACTGAGAATCGCAACTTGGTTCAGCCTAATAGAATTGGCCGCTATGACCGCTACCAACAGCTGATATCCTCCATTTGGATGTCTCCTTGGGAAGAAATATTCGTTGGCCCCGAAATCAGATACTGTGCACAGCGCGCTCCCATTTCTGGAGCTCAAATACTTGTTGTTGCGCCTATTGAAGAATCCGAAAGAGCCATTGGATTCGACACAGAACCATTGGTAGGGCTCAGGGTCCAGACCCTTGCAGAATTCATGCATATAAGGTTTGCCGTCCGATATACCGATTACTTGTCCAGAGTCCTTCTCCCGAATCATATATGTTCTATCGGGCCAAGGAACTGTATCTGAGGAGCCATCCTGGAGGGAGAGATTTCCGATGGTCATGGAATCATCTTTCGAGGTGAATATAATAGATGAGGCGGTTGAAGTAGTGTTGCTTGAATCGAAGCTCATGGTGACTGGTGTGCAGGAGAGTGAGACGTTTCGTGGGGATTTAACGAGAGTGAGGGTGATAGTGCGTGGAAGTCGATGTGTTGCCTTTAAATTCTCTTCTGTATTTGGATGTCGGATACAGAAATGTAAGTGCAATTGGCACACCGTTAGACTCAACATGCTTTAACACATCTAAATCGCTTAAACTGCATATCTGTATGTCTTCAGCTAAGGACTGGAATGCCGAGTCCGGTGAGCGTTGCTCCGCTATCGACGCATGCGGCTGTTTGCGTATATGCATGGTTTTTATTCTTTCTAGAGACCGAGGGGAAATGTACTTTCTAGAAGAAAATTGCTCTTAATATTTTACTATAGTTTTCTCTAAAATCTCTCTCAATCGCTTGTATACGAATAAGCTTCATATTATTGACAAACTGCTTTTACTCTATTTTGAAGCTCGGGAGAAGAGATTGAAGTGACGTTTGTTCAAACAAGCCGTTCAAATCTATAGTATTCATCTTCTACGAACCCATTAGATAAAGAAAAATTCCAAGACCACAGATATTGTTATACATCTCCGATTTCATCTCAATTCTGATACTTGAATGAAATCCCAAATGGCCCCAGCATGATGCCTGGCAACGAGTGTTGTTTCATCACAGAGAATCCCCACTTGCTTCAGCGTATCGCTGCCATGCGGAACCATTAACAGATATCCCCCCATTGGATGCCTTCTTGGCGAAAATAATTCCCTGGAGCCGAAGTCGGATGCCATCTGTATGCGGTCATTTTGAAAGCTTAGGTATTGGTTGTTTTCTTTGTTGAAGAATCCGAAATAGCCACGGGATTCGACGCAGAGCCAATGGCTGTAGCCGCCGGTGCCGCTGGTCATTGAGATGCCATTATATGAGTAAATTGATCGCTTAGAGCGCCTGTCCTGAATGATATACGTATTACCGGGCCAAGGAACTTCGTCCGAGCCGTTATCCTGGAGATTGAGGTCTCCGATGGCGATGGAGTCGCCTCTCGGGGTGTATGCCATAGAAGAAGTAATTGAAGTTGTGTCACTTGGACAGTAGCTCATGATGAATGATGTAAAGAGGCTGGTCAAGCTGGATATCTTAAGCACTAGTAATGGAATGAAAGTGAGAAAAGACTGTTGACGGTGGAAGCAATGTTGCCGGACGTGTGCCCTTAAATTGTATTCTGGGTCTTTCGAATGCAGAATACCGGCATATAATTGCTACCGATGCGGCTTTCACATGGATGCTGGCGTGTTAAAGCGGGTTGTAAGCCCCCCAAGGCACCGTAAGACCGAATGCCAGAGTGAATACTAAAGGCGTTGCTGGGAATTGATCTCCGCTTTAATTCACCCAAAGTGCTTCAACTGCTTCTCTGTACGTCTTCGGGCAAGGACTGGAATGGTGAATCTGGTGGGCTCTCTTCTGTTACCGACGCATGCAGCCGAGTCGCGCACTCTATACATGGCCAGTACAACCACTGTGGATCGTGAGGAGATGTCCGTATTTTCTGTGAGAAATTGATGTCATATTTCATTGTGTTTATTCTTATATTATTTTCCATTAAGCGGTTATGTAGGAACGAATTTGCTATCACATTGTTGGCAGACGACTCCCCCTTTGGTAGCTATGAGTCTAGTGTCTCAATAATCTCGAATCTGGCTTGTCAAGTCGGCAGCACATCATATAGTTTGTTTCACAGTTTATCTGACCGTTATCGTCGCTGAATCTCTTACAAAACCTCAAAAACAACCCTCGAAGAGGGATGCCATAGGCTATTGACGACTAATGTGAGGTGGACTTTTTTTTTTTTTTTTTTACAACGGGTAGGCGCATAAAAATCGGCGGCACATTAAACATAAGATCTCTTAAATTTGTAAATTCGCTTCAGTAGACAACTTGAGTCACTTGCCCGGTGAGTCTTCGTAAGGAGTCAAAGTTCAAACACGGCCAATCGGATTCTCCCAGGTTTCGCAAAGAAGTCTCGTGGTAAGAAACTGTTCCGACCTCGATAGTTTGGTAATGAACATCAAAGTTCCTAGAAAGTATACATATTAAGACGTTTTTGAAGGAGGGAATGGCAAGCGCCCTCATGTAAACTATGACCCGAATTTCACGCATATTGCTAACCCGAACGATATCCCCGATTAACATTTGACTCTAGCTGCGAATAGTCAAGGGGAAAAACACAACAGTGATACTAACTTGGCAAATTTTGCTTGTAGTAACAGGCAGCTTTGTAGCCCATGTCTAGCTAAGCGTTTATGTATCGTATTTTCTGGTGCTTGACTAGTTCCATCAAACATAACCCTATTGCCCCCTCGGTATGTTCACGAGTTAGGAGGATAGCCGTTGAAAAGAGAAAAGCTGCTATTTCCTTCTATAATTCTGGAGTCAGACCTATTCAGATTCTTACACAAATTCAACATTAAGATTATTCGTTTTATATGTGCTGTCTATAAAAATAACTGAAGAAAATTGACGATAGAGGTCGACTGCGGCCTTGGGGGGTGATATATAATGCCAGCAGACGATCCTCCCCGTCTCGGAGGTCCTGATAATAATAAATATCAGTACAATCGAGTTGATCCCACAGCCACTGCATCACTGTGCGGCCACCGAGTTATTCTTCAGCTATCTTCATAGACAGCACGTATAAAACGAATAAACTTTATGTTGAATTTGTGTAAGAATCTGAATAGGTCTGACTCCAGATTTGTAAGAGGAGATGATAGCAGCTTTTCTCTTTTCAACGGCTATCCTCCTGACTCGTAAATACACCGAGGGGGCAAGCAATTCGTAATTGTATTCATTGGCGCTGTCGGCCTCGTTACGAAAGATAGCCCAAGGACCGCCGGCGTAAAGACGGCTGAGCCGGAGCATATAGGAGCAGCTCGTCATATGGGAGCTTGTCTTACGGCGACGGCGGCTATCAGGAAGATCAGCTTTCTGCTGTAAGACGTATTTTCTTCCTTTGCTACAGCGAAGTTAAACACAAGTGGCCGTAACTCTCTGTTTGACGAGGTTGTGGCCAAGGGGCAGGGCTACGGCATCAATCGCGGCCCTAGCCTCGTCAACGGTCTCGAATTCGAGACCGTATAACGATTCCATCGCCGGCAAGACTGATGTGTAATTGTGGTCTGCGAATAGCTTCAATTTGACACCAATTCAGTAGAGGAAGACGGTTGAGGGATTTGCAATGTCTTTTGTTCTATGTAAAATACTAAATACCGACAACGGTCATACCCCTAAAGTTGTGGGCCACACAGCCACAGGTCCCCTGCCTAGTCGATACTTTCTAATCTGGAGGCGATACTTTTTAATCCGTCCCTATATAAAAGAAAGAAAATGACCCTCTTTGTCGAACAGATTCAGAGATGGATATAGTTCTTATTTTTCACCTAAATTCAGACTAGTAGTAGCTAAAGTACCTACTCTTCAATCGATTCTTTGTCTTTATCACTCTCTTCTTTGTGTTTTAGACTCCTGACGTGTGGAGGATCTATATAAGAGAGTACAGTCGCCGCAAGCAATTAGTCTGCAAGTTTCATACCCACCCACTTATTCTGAACTAAATAAGATCAGTACATGTAGTCAATGTTTGCAAGGAAGCTATCTGTAGAGGAATCATACTTACATGCCGCGTTATAACCTTGAACCACATTGCTGTTGAAATTAGAAGCTGCTCTAATTGCCGTGTCTCCCTAGTAATAACCCTATTATTTCTTCCTGCCCATCGGTTTTTGCATTATGCAATGGTGTTTTGCCCTCATTGTCTTCAATATGCGCGTTAGCACTCCTGGTAAGCAGTAATTTCACGACTCTTTCTTTCCGAGCAGCTACTGCATAATGTAGTGGTGTTTTACCATCCCCATTTTTGGCGTATATATCAGCACCTCTGTCTAGTAGTAACTTTACTACCATTTCGCTCGCATTTAGGGCTGCTTTATGTAGTGGTGTATTGCCGCTATTGCACCTTGAATCAATATTCGCCCCCTTATCTAAAAGTAACTTTGCAGCTACTCTTCGTCCCGAACCGGCAGCTAGGTGTAGTGGTGTTTCGCCCTGCCAATCTTTGGCTTCGGTAGAGGCATTGTGAGTGAGTAATAGCCTTATTATTGGCGTATAATCCCGTTGAGCCGAGCAGTGTAACAACGTGCGGCATTGATCATCTTTCGACTCGGTGCTCAGACCTCTTTCCAAAAATAATTTGATTAGATCCCTTCTGTGTGGACTTAGGAATCGGGGTAGAGGGGATGTGCCATTTGTTGTTCTAAGGTCTGGGTCAGCACCCCTCCGAAGCAGCAACTTCACCACTGCATCTTCTCCTCCCTGTACAGCGTAGTATAGAGGCGTTTGACCGTCATTATCCTTTGGGTCCGGATTAGCTCCCTTCTCGAGCAGCAGCCTTACCACAGCTTCGCAGCCATTTATTGAAGCTTTATGCAAAGGTGTTTGCTGGATGTCGATATTTCCACATAGAACATCTGGACTTAGGCCTTTGTCTAGAAGTAGATTTACTACTGCTTCGTACCCGCCCGATGCAGCTAGATGTATTGGCTGATGTTTCTCATATGGAGAAAGCTGAGCGGCACATGTTGGGTTGGCGCCCTTGTCAAGGAGCAGTTTTGCTATTTGCTCGAGGCCGGAAATTGCAGCTATACACAACGGCGGTGTCGGCTCCTCTTGATGACTAGGAATAAGATTCGGGTCAGCGCCCTTGTCGAGCAATAGCTTTACTACTGCTTCATGCTCATTTTCTATGGAAATAGATAATGGCGTGCCGATCGAAGAATCAGAGTCTGGGTTAGCACCCTTATCTAGCAATAGCAAAGCTATTGCTTCATGCTCCCCCTTTGCCGCAAGGCAAATTGGTGGAATGTTCGAGGAATCAGAGCCTGGCTTAGCACCATTATCTAGCAACAGCTTTACTATTGCTCCATGGCCCATTTCTGTGGCTAGGGATAACGGGGTACCGGTAGAAGAGGCAGAGTCTGGGCTAGCACCTTTATCCAGGAGCAGTCTTACTACTTCCTCAGACCCTTTCGCTGCAGCCCTGTGCAAGGGTGTTCGACCACGCTCATCTCTAGCATCAAATTCGGCACCCTTCTCCAGAAATTGAAGAACCATTGCCTCATAGCCGATAGCTGCTGCGTAATGAAGGGGCGTTCTGTCAAACCAACCATTCTTATGCTCAACTTCTAGTTCTGCACCCTTATCTAGCAGTAACTTCACAACTGCGTCGTTTTGCCACCGTGAAGCCAAATAGAGAGGATCTTCATCGTACTGACCATCTCTTTTACTGGGTTCGAGTTTGGCACCGCCTTCCAACAGCAGCCGCACCACTGCTTCATGTCCATTCTGTGCAGCCGCGGCCATAGGCATCAATCTCCACGCCTGCCCGGCATCTGGATTGGCACCATGTTCCAATAACAGCTTCACCACTGCTTCATGGCCGCGATCTGCGGCCTGGGCTAATGGCGTGAATGGGTCTCCACCACTAGCATTCGGGTCGGCGCCGTATTCCAGAAGGAGCTTCACTGTTTCCTCATGCCCTCCCCTTGTAGCCGATAGTAGTGGTGTACCTTCAGACCCATGTTCCCTTTTGAAATTAGGGTCGATACCATTCTCCAGCAATAACTTGACCACTCCCTTGTGGCCGCCCACTGCAGCCAAGTCTAAGGACCGTCTCCAGTCATCTTTGTTCCCCAGATTAGCACCACTCTCCAACAGCAGCCTCATTACAGCTTCGTGCCCGCTTTCTGCGGCTCCATGAAGCGCCGTTTCTGACCAGAGTTGGCGTTCAAGTATATATTCCGGGTCGGCACCCTTATTTAGCAGCAGCCGAACCATTTCAACATGGCCTCCCCATGCAGCCGAATGTAGCGCCGTTTCATGTGCTCCAGGTTCCTGGGGATTTGGATTAACACCGTTCTCAAGTAGCAATTGGGCCATCTGATAGTTGCCGCATCGTGCGGCTATAGCTAGCGGCGTATGCTGCGACATTCTTTCAGCCTCCCGATTTGCGCCCTTCTCCAGCAGGAGCTTTGTAGTTGCTTCATGGCCTTGCTTGATAGCCGATAGTAGTGGTGTTATGCCCCATTTAGTCTTGGAACCTAGAGTGGCGCCATTCTGTAGCAGGAGTCTTAAAATTGTATCATGACCATTCTCTGCAGCTTCAAATAGAGGCGTCTGGCCATCCTTATCTTTCGACTCTATATTGGCGCCTTTCTGTAGCAGAAGTCTTACAACTACCTCGCGGCCCTTGGCTGCGGCGCATTGTAGAGGTGTCCAGCCCTCTTCATCTTGTGATTCTAGGTCAAAACCCTCATCTAATAACAGTGTTACCATTGCCTCATGGCCTCTCCCCGCAGCAATATGTAGAGGAGAACGATAGCCTGAGTGGTGACCACGCAATTGAAGCAGTAGCTTTGCTATATCAATATTCCCAGTCCTTGAAGCATGCTCTAAGTGGTCATTAAAATTGCAATTGTCAGGGTTGGCGGCACTTTCCAAAAGCATCCTAGCCACTGTCGTATAGTCACCTTCTATAGCTAGATGTAATGGACTGATTCTTCCGTGCCATCCGTCCGGATGAGCATCGTTCTCCAATAGTAGCTCCACTACTGCCTCATGGCCTTCCAGCGAAGCCCAATATAATGGAGTCCAACCTTGAACTTCGGAGTCAGGATCGTGTTTCTTGAGCAGTGCCTTCATTGGATCTATAAGGCCAAAATATGCTGCCATGTGAAGCCCATAGATGTTTTGAAACTCCTGGTCGAGATGACTAGCGCGTCTCCTATAGATTTTCGTCACCTGATTCCACGTAGATGTTGTAGCTTCACTCTCTAGAAAAGCCATAGCAAGGAGATTGACATCCGGATCTGACGAGATGCGCACATGGTGCCCCCAGTTGCACGCGGCATAGTCATATAGAATATTTGACTGCGATCCTGCCTCAAAGAGTTCATCAGTCGGGTTGGCACCCGCTTTAAAGATATCGAACGACAGGTATGTGATACATGTTTTCGCAATATCAGTCTGAGCAGTAGGAAACCATGTGCCACAGGTCCGCTCATAGTATTCTTGCACCGTATAATGGACTAGGCGGATGATATCACTGTGCTCATCAACCTCTACTAACCCGGCGCATACAGAGACCATAAGTCCAATCTCAGTCAGGTTGTGTGGATTTAGGGCAGAGGAACCATCCACAACTGCCAGTGCGTGCTGCAGCTCCAAGGTTGATAGAGGCCGTCCAGAACAGGTGATCCAAAAAAGAACTCGGTTGGCAAGGTCACAAAAACCTCTTTTTTGGCTCTGAATTCTCTCCATAGCTCCGGTGTACGCTTGTTCATAAGCATCCGATCCCTTAGGAAGCCTTTCTAGTGTATCTTCAACTTGCCAGACGCTTGTTTTGTCTCGCAGGGAATCGAGATGGAGTCTAGTGAGAAGAAACCTATAACTTATATATTAGCAAAATGTTCTCTTTTGACACTATGGCTGGTCAGTTGATGAGTGAACTAACATCCCCTTAGATGCTTCGATAATGGACAGCTTTATTTTTTCTTCAAGACCGGTAGCCCTGAAGATGAATGACGGCAATTGTGGCATATTGGTATCTAAGTATTGCCGCATGTCTTTATCGGTAGCGCGGATCTCGAGCGTCCTATACTCTCTGTTTTCGAAATATTTCTTAATTTGGGGGATGGGCCGAGACGTGAAAAATAAATTTGTGCCCAGCCTAGTTTGAAGACCAAATATCTCAGACATAAAGTTAGAGCGGTGTAGATTGGAATCTGTGCATTCATCCAGAGCGTCGATGATTATGTATGCTCTCGAATAACTAGCAATAGTCTGTTTCAATGCATTTACGATTTCTTCAAGTGAAGGCCGGGTTGGTGACATTTTCAAAGTTGGCCGGCTTTCCCCTTCCTTTGGATTGTGTTTTTTATATAGCTGTTGTACACTGCCGTGTACCGTAGAATCCATCCGGGAAAGCTGCCTCAAAAGGCTTGATAGAATATGCATGGGTTCCTGCTCTGACTGGCGGCGGAAGTTTAGGTAGAGGTATGCAATTCCGATGTCGCATTTTTCCTGGAATTTCTCATGAAGATAGCTAACCGCAATAGAGGTGGCTATCGTCTTTCCAGCCCCTGGAATTCCGGGGCAGAACAAGGTTTGCTTTTTCTGGTTAATCCAATTCTGGAATTCTTTCGAATTTAGCAACCATTCTCCGGTTCCTGGCTGACGGCTCTCAATGAAGTCATTTTGCTGAGAAGAATAATCAATTGGAGTAATCCAGTCTATGATAGCTTGAAGTTCTTGATCTAGTTGCTTCTGAACGATCTTGGTAATGTTCCGTGACATATCGACAATTTGTTCTTTTACATCTATTATAAGTATATACGATTAGCAATCGCTATAAGATAGCTTTATATTTTTTGAGGACTAACCGGATAGAATCTCTCCAATTCTCTTCTCAGCCTCAATTTTGTTGGGAGGGATTCGATATAGGAGGTCTTTTGCATATGCAGCCGCCGCCATTGCTGCATATCCTTGCCAAGCCTTGTTCTTGTGAGAATCTGAATAGTCGCATATACCACGAATCACTAAACAAGGAAAGTGATTCATCAACCCCGCCGCCTCCATCTCGAAGCAAAGAATATCTTTTTCTAATATAAGTGTATCCCGAATTAATGCATCCTTCATTAGCTGATTAGCTGATGCAATTAGCCCATAGTGGATAGATGGAATATCATCATCCTCAGTTCTCTCAGGTCGGAGTATCAGGTTTGGCAGACTATCACCACAGAGTATCGTACAGCTTGTTTCATCTCCTATGGGATGAATAATATCGGCCCGATATAGAAGGTCGGTGCTTGATGGCGGCCGGCTGTATTTGCGCTTTAGTCTTTTCCTATTCTCTAGGATTTTGCTAATAGTAAGATCAAGCTGATGTCCTTTTAGCTCGTACTGAGACCTAAGTCCGCTTACGGCGGTCCTTAGTACCATTGGTGGCTGGTTTAAGAATCCTATGTGTTGAAAACTTTGTTGTTGGACTGTTTTTCCAAAGTCATACTGAAATACACCACCTTTCTCATCCCTGGGGGCACTAATGACGATATCGCCTAAGCGGATATCATGTTTCTTGCTTGGCGCACCACCACCGATTCCTACCATTAAACCAATTCGAATATTAGGAAAACTGTGAAGCATATCTCTAGCAACGCTTGTTGCAGATGATATTCCATACTCTCCATCGGGTAACACTACTATCACCACATTGTGCTTCCCTACTTTACCCAGTGTATAGTCGTTATTATCATTAGCTGATACATATTCTGGTCCTTCATGCTCTTCGTCAAGGAAAGACTGTGCAGCAACATACTCCGTTGTTATCGCACAGATCCACCCGACATAATAGTCTTTGGGATTAGACATGTCGAAGAAGAGCAAAATTGAAAAAGAGGCAGGGAACTAATCTGATAACTTGGACTGATCTCGTTGACGCAAGAGTGATACGTTCGCCTGCAGGCAATACTTAATGTCAGATCCAGGGATAGAGGGGGAAAAATACATGTAGACTGACGTGGATGTAGAATGTAGATATATCACGTACAGCTGGCTATTCTGCTTGTGAGCGGGCTCTACTGTCGATTAACAGAAAAACGACTCAGTAGGATCAACAGGATCCTGAACTTGATCTCTATGTAAAGTGAAATTGAAATGTACAGACACTAGCCACGTCATCTTACATGCAGGACTAGCGCACATTTATTTCGCTCTGATGTTACTTCAGTCGCTCGTAGCCAACGCAAGGCAACGACATGTAGCAATGATTGCGAGAGAGGCAGCCGCATCATGTAGCTATGCCCAGCCCCACCACTTTCGGTTCGAGCGTCCAATAAGAGCGTACCAGTTCTCAAAGAGCAAAGCGGAGAACCTGAGATAATTTGTTTTTCACATCAATGGCATCGCAAGATGAATCGTGGTTGTCTACTCCGTACGTCGTCGAGAAACTAACAAAATGGCTTATATTCTCAATGAAATGCATGATAAATGAGCTGCCAAGGAATCAAAATAGGGTAATATAAGAGTCATGGTGTTAATAATAATCTTAAATATGCCTATCCTCTCGACACTTGTTGGTACGAAGTAAACATGGGAAGGTTCAAATTTTGAGCCCCCTAATACGGCATCCACAAGCTTGTCTCTTTTCTGGAGAAATTCGAGGCTCTAGAGATAGTCTAAAGTCAGCTGTCTTATCCGTTCCAACAACCCAACGTCATATAATCCGAACTCTGGGAATCCAATGCTGTGACTGGATCGAAAATGGCGTGTTTTACTCCTCTCCCATGCCCTCTGGGGATTGCTTCACAAGAACCTTCCGTATCCGTGGCGAATTGTACAGCTAGATCAATGACTTGGGCGATAGCCGTACTCTAGGTCAATTTCTGAGGAGAATTGAGGACCTAACTCCGGATATCGTAATAACTGAGCCCCATCCCTGTGATTGTTGTGGTTACATCATAAGAACAAATTCGGGAAATATAAGCCTGTGTGTTTTGGCGCCTGAGAATTCTGACGTTCACCGAAATTATCGCGCTTCTCCAAATACGACTCAGATTTAAAATTCCGAAATACATTCTCAAAATTCCCTTTGGATAACTCCTCTAGAGAAATAGGGTTATTGTCTTACATAAGAGTAGCTGTAAATTCCTTGAATACGTCTTGCAGGCGCTGTGCTTCCTCATCCGCCACATCTCCATAGGCCTTTATACTTCCGAAAGGATGGTAAGGGAAGGGACTAAGTTAAAGTCAGCTCTTCACATTTTGAACTGCATCCCAGGTATTTCTCACCCATATTCGGGAACGAATGTAATCAGTGCATCAGGGCCATTTTTCTCAAACTGGTATTTCAGAATATTTTCCCACAGCCGTTCGTAACAGAGCCTCTCCTGCTCGAAGTCTGGATGCGTAGGTGCTGGACATTGAGTAGCCTGAGTTGTTCCAACCCTCGTATGTATATGGGATACCTAGGATGTTGTTAACATCATATGAATGGGAACCGGTCGGATCTTACGAACGTGAGGGACAATTGCTTCCATAGTCATGCGGTCGCCTTCACCATCGTCCAGTAATCTTTCCCCTACAACCATCCAGTGGGAAAAGTCGGCAGTTAGTCTTAGTCTATAATGTGTCAGATACCTAGGTTAGCCCATTTTCTTCTCACCCTTTTCATGGCGGAATACTCATACTCAGGGACAGCCTTGAGAATCACTCGTGTCACCCAGGGGCTAAACAGCGACCGACTTCGATGCGTCTCATGGCAGACGAAGCCTGAAACACCAAGTTCTCTATCAATTTTGATAGTCCCCTCATAGAACTTGATTGACTCTTCAATATTCCAGTCGTCTCTAGCAAAGCCATGTATAAGTATTGGTATCATGACTAGTATCACACGAATACAACAAGTACAAAGCAATCACTTACTGCCCCGATTGAAATGTAATAACAAGCGGTCTTAGAGGCTTGACTTGTTGGATTATCTCGCGATATCTCGCCAAGTGCTTTTCTGCGGTTAAGCCAGGCTGGCGGGGGACAATTGATGGGGCCGGGCTCGTTTGTGCCCTAGTAACAGGGAATCTTAGCGGAGTTTCTTTCTTTTTCAACGGGGATAAACTACTTACAACACGCTGATTTCAAGTCTGAGTTGGTCACAAATCTGTCTTAGGCGCTCATAATCGCTCTCTTGCTCTAGCATATTTACTTTTACCTCAATGCCATCTTTCATTTTCCCTAGTATTAGCTGACTGTCGTAGATTCGAGACTTCTTCAGGGAAATGTGTCAGACATACCGTATCCTTTGTGTTTGAGCTCGAGGAACCAGCGGGCCCAGTTACTGAGATGATGGCCCGGGTCAACTCCCCACACAGATCGAAGACAGAGAATTCTCATCTTTGCCAGAGATGTCTACTTGAGACTTGTTTACAATAGACGAGGCTTTAGCAAGATACATCGGAATTATTCTCAATTAATTCACTGCTATTTTATCTTAAGTCTTATGAAATGGAGTTATTCCCCTTAGTGAAACACCAGTCAATGACAGAGAGTACTAGACTAAGAGTGAAGTGTGGCGGACATTGATTGTGTGGGGGATAGTTCGTCTTTCGAATGCGGGGGCTTGCTTGACAGCTGGATGCATTGTCACCCCGCAGGACATTATTTGATGAGCTCCATAATTTCAAGGTATTGGACAATACTTACTCCTGGAGCTAGTAAGACTACATGTCAGACTAGGCGTCTGTGGCTAAGTTGCTATTTGCTATGGCCGGAAGACACATCTGATCGAACACAAGGAATATGAGAATTGCTGATTGAAGCTACTGAACTGTACAAAGGAAGGCTAGCAAATTGGTCATATATACATAGAAAATAGCGTTTGTATCCAACTGGTACCCGAAGGCTAGGGGTATTAGTCCGTCTTGCGATCCTTTCTAATCCAGGGCCTGCGTACCCGATCAAATGGATCAACGTTCTTTCCCTCCTACAAGACCTTGAGGGCTGAAGTAATTCCACAAGAGTATGGATACAAAGGCAATAGCTAAAATCCCCAGACTATTTACATTGGATGTATGCTGTCAGTACGGAGTAAGCGCTATAGCCTCGTAGTTCAAAAGCTGGGGAAGTGGAAGTCCCCGCGAATTCCCCCGCAAACCCCACAAACTCAATCTTAGACTCAATCTAGCTAAACAGAAAGTACCATAATTAAGGGGGAAAGTAAAGGAGATAGCTCGAGATACAATTATAAAAAGCTCTTCTGCAGACAAAGGTAATGTAGTAGAATAGCAATACTCTTCGGTCTATCTTCGAGTGCCTCTTCCTCCTCCCTCTCCAAAAGTTTATACATCTTCAGAGGATGACTGTATATGAGAGCATAAAGGTGCCTACCGACGGAAACATGAGTGGCAATTCTGACCAGATTGAGTGCGTTCGCACAAACACGAGCGTTGCCATTCCAATCGAGGTGTTTGAAAGACGATATCTTGCTCCTCAGCTCCCCAAAGCAGATTGGTATAAGCGCCTTGGTAACCCGACGCCTTTGTGAGTGCCCGTATAGCGACGCATATTATATCAAACATGGTATTTGAAGGATGTATTAACAGTGTAATAGGGGGCTTGTTGGGTTTCTGATGGGCGCGACGCCCTTGGCATGCACGCTGATGGGCTGGGGTGGATCGGGAGGTGGTGGCGTGGCAACAATGTAAGCTGGGACTCCTCGACGTACTCACGGGTTATTGAATCAATATTAATCACCTCAAAAGAGGATTCACCTACTTCTTTGGAGGCTTACTCCAGCTAATCGCATCGGTACTCGAGTTCATTCTGGGAAACACCTTCCCTTTCGTCGTCTTTGGATCATTTGGTAAGTCGGGTCCTGCGTCTAGATGCCAGAATTTTACTCCATAACTTACAAAGATCCTACTTGATAGGAGCATTCTGGGTGGGTTTTGGTGCCACTCAAACGCCCAGCTTTAATGCACAAGGCTTTTTTCAGAGCGGCCAAGATGGCACGGATGTCAGCGAATTCTATGCCAGCTATGGTGAGTGAGCCGAAATCTCTTCTCTGACAGTGAATCATGGTTATATTCATCAATCATCTTTAGCATTCGGCTTGATATTCACGGCTGTCCTTGTCGCGATATACACCATATGTGCCACTCGCCTTAACGTGGTCTTTGTCTGCCTTTTTTTCACCCTTACGTTAGCCTTGATCTGTCTTGCAGTATCTTACTGGTCTATTGCGCATGGAAATGATGTGGTAGGAGGCAGACTATTTAAAGTATGTCTATCATTATGCACAAATCCCAATTCAACTACAAGACATGCAACTAATGTGTACACAGGCTGGGGGAGCTCTGACGTTTGTCGTATGTTTCCTAGCATGGTATTACTTAATTGGCCTTATGCTCGATGCCGTCAACTTTCCACTGAGAGTCCCAGTTGGTGATCTCACTGGACGATTGGCTAGGGAAAAGACATCTGGTGAGGCTGTATAGCCTTGAAACGAGACGAAGAAGATTATGAGTCTCTATTTTCTGTGGACGTCTCGTAGTCACTGAACTTACGGGCATACGTCAATGTATCCAAAACCCGTACGCATTTTATAAATACAAGATATTACAAGCAGAATTTTTGTAGCCCATGAACAATCGAGTGAGACTGCTTATCTTCGTCGAAGAATTCAAGATCGTGAAGCGACTGATATAGGCAAACTGATATCTACCAAGTTTTTAGTAAACTTAGCTACTATTGACAAATTGTCTAAATGGTTCATGTACAAATGTATGTGAAAAGCTTTCAGGACACATCAACATCGGCTTATTCAAATAGTTACTGAACGCGTACCAGGACCAGACTACTTTTACTATATTCGAAAT